TCGATTCAATGACTCGACTCAAGTCTGACTCGAGTCACATTTTTTGGTGACTCGACTCGACTCAAGTCCCTGAGGGCAAATGACTCAATTTGACTCGAGTCACTTCGAGCAAATGACTTGACTTGACTCGACTCGAGTCCCTCATCAAATGACTCGACTCGACTTGAGGAACGCTGATAAGACTCCAGTCCCAAAAATAAAGCAAGTTTTAGTTCACGTCACGTTAGAATGTATGCAAATAATGTATACATATACAACATGGTTTGATCAGTAGTCCCATAAGTTGTATGGGGATCAGCTGGCATCCCCATTGTATTTTCATTAAGAGTCAAATGTGGTGTCACCACATGCAGAGTAGCCCGAATGTGAAATAAAAAAAATAAAAAAAATGACCTTGTCTCTTGTGTTTATTTATTGTATAGTGTTCAAATACTTGTGATTTGACTCGAGTACACACTGTGACTCGCTCTACTACCTCCTTGACCCTAATGACTCGACTCGACTCACTCCTCTTCTTTAAATTACTCTACTCAACTTGAGTCACAAAAATCAGTGACTCATTACAACTCTGCCAAATAGTGGCATTCAGAGAAATCCAATTCATCTCATATCGATCAATTTAAAACTGGTGATAAGTAAATAAGGTCACAGTAGCCACAATGTATGCTGGTAATGCGTGACCTGCAGGTCAATATGTTAGCTATCAGTCAGGCGGCCCTGACTAGCTATCAGTCAGGCGGCCCTGGCTTCATGCGCCATTCCCTGTTCATAACCGATGGCAGAGGTGTGAAGGCGGGTCTCTGGCGCCTTAAAACCAGATAGCTCTGGGCAGGTGGGGTTCATCAGCCGTAGGAGGCAGCTCACCTAAGAGACGGAAAACTCTGATTCCAAACCCGGGCAGGAGGAGCTCGTCAACCAACCTCACTCCACCAAGTCCCCCTTGAAGGACATCTAACCTCATAGGTGTTGGTAGATCGGCAGATCTGGCGGACGAGCAAGTTATCACGCAACTTGCCAACGGCAGAAAAGGCGTACAAACAGCAATTGGTTGTGCAAACCACAGGGCGCATGGATAGATGCAAGCAACATGCGGCCATGCACTACGCTGGTGGAGGAGTGGTGACACGCCAGCGGAATCCATTCACCAAAACCTCCAAAAATGAATCACAACACTGAGAATCACAGCCATACCCTATTGAGCGTGGGGACCCCGAGCGCGCCAACTGGGTCTGAAGCTACTGGGGATGAAGGTGATCATGCTCTCTACTACCCACGCTGTAATGACGCCTCGCACTCAAAGCCTTCACTGGACGGTGCGCGGTTGAGTTTGCGTGAAGAACGAAGCACGGGCACCTTTAGCTTAGGATGCTGGAATGTGACCACACTGAACTATAGCCTAGCACCTGAACATCTGATGGCCACTTTAAAAGCCTACCGCTATGACGTCATTGCTCTTAGCGAAACTCACAACATCGGTCAGGAAGTAGCATGTAATGGACACATAATCATGTCGGGTGGTGAAACTCACTACGCAGGTGTGGGAATACTGTTGTCAAAACGGGCAAAAAACAGCTGCTTGCCGTCTACTACATCTCTGATCAGATCATGGCTGCCCGCTTTCGTCTGAGGAAAGGCTCCCTGCTGTTTGTCTCCGTCTATGCACCTACATCCACTGCAACGGATGATATTATCAACAACTTCTACTCACAACTACAAGATGTGATCAATTCAAACAAAAAGAACTGTAACACACTTGTTGTGGCTGGTGACTTCAATGCCAAACTTGGAAACCAGCGCATCCCTCTTGTCATGGGACCCCATGGCCATGGTGACAGAAATTCAAGAGGAGACAGACTTGTTGATTTCTGCATGGTTAACAACCTCACTGCCGCACACTCCTGGTTCCCCAAGCGATCTTCTCACAAGGTTACTTGGATCAGCAGGGCAAGAAATGCAAGAAACGCCATTGATCACATCTTAATTAGCACAGAAGCAAGGAACCACCTGACTGACTGCCGTTCCTACAGTGCTTGCTTTGATACTGACCATTGGTTAGTAATCTGCAACCTGAAGTGGAAATTCCGTCGTCATGCTACTGCACGTGGACTACGACCTCAACATCCAAACGTTGAAGCCCTGAAGTCGGAACAATCGTCTGAAGTCTTTCGGCAGCTGGTTCGATCCCGTGTTACTCAAGGTGACTCTCTTGAAGCTGTCGCATGTGTCATACACGAAGCATCTCTCAAGACCTGTGGTACACAAATATCCCAGAAGAAACAGCCGTACCTGTCTGAATTAACTCTTCATCTGATTCAGCGCAAGAGGAAGGCTGTAGGCACTCCAGAATTCACAGCTCTGAGGAATGAGGTCAAACATGCATGCCAGAAAGATCTCAACGAATGGTTGGTAACTAATATCAACACATTGAACCAAGCATACCAGAATCACAATTGCAGAGCTATGTTCAAAACTACTGATGTTCTCCTTCAGAAAACATGTACGCCTGTGGTGAACATCAAAGATGCAAACGGTCTGGTATTGGAGACAGCTGAAGAAGAAATACAGCGTTGGCATCAGTATGCTGTAGACCTATTTGAGTCAAATCGGCCACGTCCACCCCATCACACAACTGAGGTTGAATGAAACCCGCCGTCACCAGAAGAGACCAAGAAAGCCATACAGGCACTGAAAAACCACAAGGCTCCCAGAGTTGATTGCGTCACATCTGAAGCTCTTAAAGCTGCGACACAGGACCCAGAGATATTCAAAACCCTTCATGGGGCCGTGTGTAACATCTGGAACTCTGGGAAGTGGCCACAGTCGATGACCAAGTCAGTGTACATCCCGTTGCACAAAAAGAGTGACCGAGGCTTGTGCAACAACTACAGAACACTTGCACTAATCAGTCATGCCAGCAAAATTGTTCTGAATGTGATACAACGCAGACTGGAAAGAACCGCTAACATCGAAGTGAGTGACACCCAATGTGGCTTTGTAAGCGGTAAAGGCACAATTGATGGAATCTACCTCCTGAAAGGTGTGGCGGAATTGCACTACGCAGGAAAACGCCCTCTCCATCTGGTCTTTGTTGACTATAAGAAGGCATTTGATTCAGTTAATCATGCACTTCTGTTTGCAAAGCTACGATATCTTGGCGTGGAGGAGGATGTGATGCGGCTACTTGAGGATCTTTACATCAACTCAAATGGCAAGCTCCGGTGGAAAGGTCGGATGACAGACGAGTTTGAGACACCAGTGGGAGTACGCCAAGGCTGTCCATTGTCACCAACACTCTTCAGCCTCTACACTGAGTGTCTCATGCGAGAGTGGTACAATCGCACAGCACACCTAACGGCTCCAGATGTCAGTGGTATCCCCCTAAAGGAGATCAGATATACTGACGACCTGGTACTGATGGCGCTGTGCAGAGCTGATGCTGAAGAGATGCTTACTACCCTGGGTGATATATCTGACGGGTATGGGTTAGCCATCCACCCAGGTAAGACTGCATATATGATCATCCAGCCAACAACCGATGACAGCACCATCACATACCGCTCGGCGCAAATACCTCGTGTCACATCTTTCAAGTATCTAGGAGTGTTGATCAACCACACACTAGACGACAGCAAGGAGGTTCGGATGCGGTTAGGTATGGGCAGATCCACTCTTCGGCAGTGCAAGTATCTGCGCTCCCCCCGCGTCAGCCTTGAGGTAAAGGTACAGCTTGCTCGGGCCCTAGTCATATCAAGGGTACTGTATGGTGCCACCACCCTGTCGTTGAAGGCAGCTGACATCAAACGCCTAGACAGTTTTGGCCGAACCATTTGACAAATGAAAGACTGATGGAGATGATTGGCGACCGGTGGTGCTTCAGCAGTAGCACTGTGATGGAACGAAAGACATCGTGGTTGGGCCATGTGGTTCGGTATGGCGGCATCTGTTGTGGATGGGATGCCAGTGGGATGTCGTCACTCCGTGGGCCGGCCAAAGATGCGCTGGGTGGACAACATCCGTGAATGGTCTGGGTGTGACACCAACGAACTGAAAGCAGCAACACTAGAAAGACGGGCTGTGGTGGGAGCGGCGCCAGTGATCCCAACTGTGTATAATTTGAGGAGGAGACCACGGGCAAATGCCTATGTCTAACGAATGAATTAATGAGGCGGCCCGTTCAGCAGAGAGGGGGGGAGGAATTGTTTTGAACCATTGCATATACCATGCGTACCAGGGGGGGGGGATAAAACAGTCTTCAATTAGTGCAGACATACTTTATGGATGTCCCCCAAACACATCTACATGTACATTCTTTGACATAGTCTTTACAAAACACTTACCTGGCAAGTCACTGTTGGGCAGGTCTCAGGAAAACAGGGGATGGAATTATTGAAGCAGATACACTCACTGCAGTTTAGATTTGGGTCATCCCACTTATCACCAGGCTAGAAGAGACAAATTAAACCACACCAGTGATTAAAGAATGATAAAGTGGTACTGCAACAGAATCTTCAATTTTGAGAAAGAAACTAAATGTAAAACTGTCAGGATTTATGTTGTGGGGATTGTGACAATGTATGTAATACATTTCTTGGCAAATGACATTATGTTTTATATGGGTATTATTAAGCATAGTTATATTAAAAGAATTGCAATTCTTTTGTCGCTTAAGAGTGTCCTTCAGAAACCTTCTGCTGTGACTTCAACCAACATCAATCTTATAACAGAATGACACCAAATAATTACTCAGCTTTAGTGTTGCCACTTGCAAAATTGGAAAACCCTGGATCTAGCCATAAAAATATCTAGATATTAAAAACCCTGCTACATCAAATATATTTTATCTTATTTTACACAGTGTTCTGCCATCCGAATGTATTATGCTTTGATTTACTGTTTATAAAATGTGGACTTGGTGATTGGCTTGCTATAGTTTGGTCATCATCTTGGTTTTGTGTTTTGGCAGTCTTGGGTCTGGTGTGTTTTGGGGTTTTTTTTTGCCTTTGGTTTATTGGGGGAGAAGGGGAGGCGCTGCGGCATATTGTGGTGGTCATGGGTATGAGTTAGTTTTGGTTTTGTTGTATTTTATTACCTGTTGTTAAGCATTTTGGGTGTGTTTTAAAGTATTCTGATATGCAATATTAATCTTTCAGCTCGACTTTTTAGTTTTCCTTAATTGTATGTGTTGTTATATTTTCCTGTTTACATATAGTTCTATTTTATTTCTTTGGCCATATGAGGGACTCCAAGCTTTAGGACTAGAGTGACTTTTTTACTTTTGCTGATGTCTCCTACCCACGCAGTCATAGATTGTTTGTTTGTGTGTATGTATTTGTCTTACAAAATCGTACTGTTTGTGGTTTAATGGCAAAATAAATGATAACAATAGTAGTAACAACAATAATAATAATTACTGATACTGGGTCATTAGGGGGACATTCCCTTAGAATTGAGCACAATTTTTTCCCAACTTTACTGACCCCTAACCCCAATTTTACCTTATCCTACCCCAAAGGAATTTTGGAATTTTTAATAATAAGCCATTTGCGAGTGACCTATACACTTTGAGATTTAAATTTGAAAAACATCGGACAAACTGACTTGCTCAGAATTTAACTTTGAATTCTCAAGACCAAAGACACTGTTGCTAATCACATGATTTGGGGCAAGCTCTTGCATAGCTACTTGAGAGACGCTTAGCACCAATACATTGTTCACAATGGGTGAGAATGGCACAAAGACAGACTATAAACTAGAAATGTGTTTGTGGACAAACACTGAGCTGTTTCGACCGTTTTATTAATGACTGCCGTAAAAGGAGTTTCATCCAGGTCGAATGAACATGTACATGCGTATTCTATACAAAAAAATGTCTATCCTACGTCCCTGACTATGCATGAACATAAAATCTGTCAAAGTTAGCCGGAAATCGGCTAAAACGGTCACTGTGGACAGGATTTGACCTCAGCAACACGTGCGCTGCGCGCGGGCTGACTGACATATGATATGTACAACGTACGTGCATGTACATGTACATGTACATGTACATTCTGGACTGTGCATGTTTTAAAGCAGAGTTATTGTCAACCTGAAGTTTTAAGCGTGCGCAGGGCATGTCCAAGTTTGCTTATTGCCTCGAAGCTTTGAAATATTTTAGACCTACCCTTCAATAGACAATTAAAGTAAAAACTATTATTAAAACTGCCATGGTTGATTTTTCAGGATTTTTTTAAGGAAAGAAGGTCTATTCATTGTAACTTCCGGTCTGATGACGTCATACACCTCAAACTTCTCACACGTCTTAAGGGGGGTCAAGGTCATCATATACACCAATATTTAGGCGATTCCGACAAATTTCGCCACAGACATCTATTGAAAATACATTTTTGAAAATTTTAAACCTGTCGCTAGAGGGCGCTTGAAGATTGCATGACGTCATCGGTAGATGATTTGAAGAATACTATCAGCCAAGAGACTAACACCGTTAAAAGCAAGTTCATATCTATTACCACTTTTAAATAATAAGCCACTTCCGGTTTTGGCCTTTTTCGACCGAAAGCAAGGGTCACATGATTTTACGCACACTGAATGAAATAAAGACCTCAACCTACTCTACCACTTGCCGGCAACAGAATGCTGCGGACGCGTACGGTTGATTTCTTATGCATTTTTAAATATTAAAAGTGTCACAATTTAATTGCCTATAAATAAACACCGGATGACGTCATCATGACGTCATCATTACACAATGTTGTTTAAATTAGGGTCATTGCTTGGACAAAGATTGGTGTAAATGAATTACTGGCAAAGAGTCGAAAATGCCCTCTGAAAATTGACATTTTTTTTTAAATTTCTGTGTACAAAGTCTATGGGAAAAATTAAATATTCTAAATTCTATAATAAATCCCATGATGACGTCAGCATGACGAAAAGTTTCAGCACACATCTTCAGATGGTGGTCTAAGTGTGTGCCAGGTTTGAAGTCGATCGGATTATAAAAAAAGCCAAAAGTGACTTGTAGAACGAAAACACGTGTTATCCTATGAGAAAAAAGTCTGAAAAATAAAAGAGAAAAAAAAAAATAACAGAAACAAGAGCTGTTTTGGTGTGTACACCGAAACAGCTAAAGAAGGAAACCCAACTTCAAAGAATGAGTATAGACAGACGATATGTTTACTGGCTATAAAACTGGTATCATCTGAAAGCATTATCTCTATGCTTTTCAATGACACCGTGTTTAGGTTTTTTGAGTCATGCATCACTGAGCATCATTGTCTTGAAAACTGGATGCAAAAATGCAATTGGTTCACTTAATTCATAAAAAAAAAACACTGGCACGGTGTGCCTATTGTTACGGAAATGTCTGTGAAATGGCTTGAATGTTAATCCTTGGGAAAATGTCACATTGTTTTGAACGTGGCTTGGTCAAAACGAGAAATTCATGACAAATAATAAATTCCAGTTTTGAAACCAACTCGACTTGTTGTTTTCTTTGGGTTTCTTTTTATGCACTCTTGTCTTCTTCTTGAATACTTATTCTTATGCACACCATGCCTATTGTGCTTAACATGAAAGTGAACCAAGTGCAATTTTGCATCCAAATCTCATGACAGTGGCGCTCAGTGATGCATGACCCTGGAAATGTAAACAAGGTATCATTGAAAAGCATAGAGATTAGGCTTTCAGATGATACCAGTTTTATAGCCAGTAAACATTTAGTCTGTCCATACTGGTTCTTCAAAGTTGGGTTTCCTTTTTATTGAAACACCCTGTAGTAACAGTCTCTTTGGTCCGGAGAATGCAAAGTTAAAACGTGTAAAGCATTGGATTAAGTCAGTGTCCCAGATTTTATTCCAATTTAACTCGCAAATGGCCTATTGGACCGTCAGCAATCAATCCAGCCTATTTGTGATGATAAAATTATATTATATATTATTATATATTTAATAAAATAATACTTGTGGTTGTAATAGTAGAATAATAATGAGGCTAACCTAGTAACCCTGGTCCTTATAGGAGGATTTGCTCGCTCCCACTGCTCCACAACCTAAGAAAAAAGCTTTCTGAGTGTTGGTACTAGTGCATGTGCCCGACTTCTATTATCATTTTTCTTTTAATAACAACGCTAAAAAGGGCAAAACTATATAATAAAAAAATACAAAAATACAAAGTTCTATTTCCAAACCCCCCATCCAGGAAAACCCCCATCCCCAGTTTTAAAAACCCATTAATAGATGTATTTTGAAGAAAAAAAAGGATGTTAGAATCATGAACTGGAGCTTAATAAACAACAACATACTGTAATTTCCTGCGGATAAGACGCGTCTTATCTGACTTTCTAGACCGCAAAAACATCGCTGCGCCTTATCTACAGGTGCGCCTTATCTGGTGTCGCTTGAGTTCAAAGTGACGGTCTTTGTGTGAAGAATTCTTTCAATGCCGCAATCAATAATGCGGTCAACCAAGGCTCAACTCTCCAGACATTGTGACCGTATTTTCATTCCAACAATGCCGCGATGTGTTGATCCCCCATGATCGTGCTTTCATTCCAACAATGCCGCAATGCGTTAATCCCCCTTAGTGATCGTGCTTTCGTTCCAACAATGCCGTCATACAAACGTTTTTCTTTGTGGCCGTTTTTTCATTCCGAAAATGCTGCAATCAGAATTACTTAAACGTTTGGAAATCGCATTCACTCAAGTTCTATTGTGTGAACGTTGAGGGTGTTTATTGTACAGGATATCTTCGAAGTCTGCTTTAGACTTAGGATAATATGAAGTACTAATGTTTATTTGTTGCACTTTCGTTTGTTTCATTAAACGTTCAAATTGTTCATTTATTAATTGCCTCTTTTTAGACGTTTGTTTTAAAAAGTATTATGGGAATTTGTATTATCTTATTATAATAGTAGGTCAGGATTTATATTTTAAATATGGTAATAAGAGTTTTGTTTTAAGAAATTTTCATATTTAGGATAATATTATGATAAGACTTATCAGGACGACCAAACGAGAAAAGAGATGGTTTATGTGTCTGTTTCGTTTATTTTATTAGTAAGATATCAAATAAGTTTAATGATCTTGAAAACAAAACTAACACTAAGAGAAGCGATGTATTAAACAAATATCTTATGAACGTGATTAACAAATTATAGGTTTGAAATAAAGGAAAAGAACTTTAAATACAAAAAAACATTACAATAATTTTTAAAAAATATAATAAAACATTTTTGTTACGTCTCCCCCGGTGTGACGGGATTATTTTCGTATGGTATATACATATAGGCGACGCTTGTTTTTGTATTAGTCACCGGTAGAGGGCGCAACATCTGGCTCGGAGGGACTGGGCAAGTCTACGAATCTGATCCAGCGTGCGTGTTGCAATATCTTCAGACAGCGCGTGGACCATCGTTTCTGGCCGCTGATTGGGCCGAGGAAGGCCAGGATCGGAAACCGCAAGCAAGCATGCACAGTGCGCGTTGGCTGAATGGATGAAGGTCGGTATCAATTTACATTGGTCTTTTCTTCATGGCTCTACATGTGACCAGCCAATGTGGTTACGGTTTAATTCATCCTCCGAATAGTGTGATCGTTCTAAGGCAACACAATGGCCCCTTTGTGGCGATGTACCGACACCGGGTGACACCTGGTGTTCTTCTGTGTGCGGTCAAACATGCGTCTTATGCGGCGGTGCGCCTTATCTGTTGGCGTTTGAATTTTTTTGGGTGATTTTAGGGACCTGCGCCTTATCCGCCGCGCGCCTTATCCGCAGGAAATTACGGTACTAACAAACAAACAATAATGAGTGTAAACATGTTAACAATGCTACCACTGAGAGTGCTTGGACAGTTGCAGTTTCCTACAAGATAGTTGAGGTTTCATTGCTTGAATGGATAACAGAAATGTTGTTTCACCTTGTGATAACCACTTTCATCATAGCAAAGGCATTCTGGTGGCAGGACGCAATGAGTACCGTTGAAGACCTTGGGTGGTTTGCAGGCATTGCAGTATTCTGATCCTGAGTACACAGGTGGAACTGTGCACACCACAACATGCATGCAGCATGTAGGCTCACCATGATGGTATGGGTCCATGCACACTAGAAGTGCGGGGGGAAAAAATGCTACTTTAGAGCCAATCCTATCACACAAAGCTCAAAATAAAACACTTCATATTTCCTTTTATTGTTTGAAGGGCCTGCATATGAATAGGCATACTGTAATATGTGTGTGGAGAGTATCTTGGGTTATGAGGAGGAAATGGACAAAAGCCTTCAACGTAGGCCTAACTCTATTAAATGCATTTATTTTATTCACACTACAATAATTCCATACACATGAATACAATTAGCCACAGGTGTCTGTTACAAAAGTTGGCATTAAAAGTTTGTTGCACTGACAACAAATACATGTACTTTAGGTCTATATGGAAAAACATATTATTGTTCCTCCAGATTGTTGATTATATTCAGAATTTGATTTAGAGCCCTCCCTATCATTGCCTCCTTCCCAGGTCTTACACGTATGAACAAGCTCCAAAGTCCTACCCTCCCTTGCCCAATAAATGTCAATGTTCTGATTTAGAACTAATGTCTATATCGACTTGTTACCAGATTAAAATGTAAGAGGAAAGAAAGGTTCAGTGAGGCCAGTGCGGTTTGAAGGTTGTATGTGTGTAATGTTTCCCTGGTCCTTACATCAAATACTATCTGACACTACATGTACATACTAAATGATTAGTTGGTTCCCATGTAGACAACATGCAATGTGAACATGTAAATCATACATGTCTCCACATGTGTCCAAATCCGTGTGCACATAGGGTCCAGTAAGACATTTTAAGCTAAATTTTGTCATCTTTTTAGATAATGTCATATCCCAAGACTGTTGGGAATAATCCTGAAAGGAGGCACTATATTACAAGAAAATGAAACACCAAAATTGGGCTATCACATGGAAAATATAGTTCTATTTCTAACATTGCATAGAAGTGTTATAAAACAAAATTACTGCTTTTTAAAATTTTATTACAGCTACACATTAACAAGCATACCTTCTGTTGTGCTAATTGGTATTGTTGTCAGTATTGGTGCTGTGAAGAAAAGGGGGAAAAAAAGCAATATTCCTGAAACAAGTACAAAAAAACTATTCCAGTGCCAAGTTAATCAAAATCAAATCTGGCACAAAACAATAGACAACACGTCCATTGACATTAAAAAAGGCAAGAGTATCACTTAATCTTAATTGTGCGTTTTCTGAAATATTTTTACATACAATCCAAACTGTGGATCTTTTTGTTGATACTGAAGTTTATGAGAAAATTATTAGTTGGAACCTACTTGTTGTTGGTACACACTCACAGCACCTATCAGGATCATCATATTCAACACGTTGTTCTCCCTACAACAAAATATTTGGGAAAGAGTTAAGTTTACCACTTTCATCACAATTAATGCACTACATTTAAAGGTACAGTCCATCATTTTGTTTGTTTGAAGCAACAAAAGTGCTCAAAATCTAAAGAAGGGAGCTGACCTGATGAAGTTTCAGCTCAGCTTCAGCTGTGTATTTCGAGAAAACCAACATTCTAAAATCTCAGTTCTCACTGAGCCGATTGCAGCTACGCAATGTCACACACTGATCTGACGAAATATAGCAACCGCATGCGCCTGTGCATCCTGTCAATGCTTGGGCACGCTTCGCCGAATAAAAAACGAACTACTAACCACCCCTATCCCCTTACAGAAAATGATACTACAGCAATTTACATACCGGCTGACAGGTCTTGTGGCAATCTTTGTAGCAATAATATGTGTTGTTTTCACAGACACAGGTTTGGCATTCATTTGGTATTAGAGTGGATCCAGTCTATAAACAGAGGAAGTAAAGCAGAATATTTGTTTAAACTGCATGTTGTACCCCTGATGCAGATGCGCAATATACACTCATATGTTCTTGATGCACCACTCTGATGCACACTCTTATTACAGAACTCTAAGGTCTATGCAATATGAGTCTATGGTTGAACATAAAAGATAAGTTCTTTCATTGCAAACAATGTGATATTGGTGCATGTACATTCTCAGCATAAAAATGGAGTTACATGATCTATTGTAAATTTCATCATGCTCTTTAATGTAAAAAAAAAACGCTTATGCAATCAACCTAATCATAATTCAACGTTTAGTTGTTATAAGGCTGAGATAAAAATCTACACAAGAGACATATACCTGACAATATTGTGTCACTGTTGTGCTATAGGGTGTCACTGTTATCTCAGTGGTCGTTTGCTCAGCTGTTGTAGTGATGACCGTGGTTACAACTTCAGTTGTAGTTACAACTACCTCTCTTGTTGTTGTTGGTTGTGCTGATGTCGGTTGAGTTACTGAGTGAGTAAATACAGAAATACGTAACTTGCTTTTTTATTTTGTTAAAATGTTCTTACGAATGCCTGTTTATTCTAGAAGACTGCCTAAGCATTTCAATTATTTCAAGTGCCGATCACAACCTTGGTTTCTATCGTAACCATGGAGCTGCAAGGCAAAACAAATGTTGGCAATTTACCTTTCTCTAATTATGCTGGAATGTCAATGTCGAAATGGCAATGTTTGTCATATAAGATTTTGGCTAGTGAGCTGTTATGCTCATTTTGATCTTGACTAAATCCTCGCCGTCTGTGTTGGGCAACATCATTCAATAGCTCCTGTTTAATGTGGTGTTTAAATCTCTTGTTGGTTGTTGAGATTGAGAGTTGGCCCCGGGCAATAAGAAACATTAAAAAACACCTTTGGTCAGCAAACAATGTATGATATACTACTATCCAATACAATAATATATCTTAATGTCATCCACCTTGAAGTAGGTGACATGAATTTTGCAAAGTTCATATGTTATATATGTACATTACCATTTGTTGTTTGTATTTGACTACTGGTACATGGAACATTATTACTTTTACTGTAGGTCAACAAACTGACAACTTACTGAGTGGGCATCCATAAATCTCGACGCGCACTTTTGGAATGTGACTTGAGTTGTAGATGTACACATATACCTCATCCGTAACCACACTGTCTTTGAACTTTTGGACTGTTGGTGTCTCCCGATCCACTGAAAAGGTCTTTTAGAAAATAAAGTATAAGTAACAAGCTTATGATTTCTTTTAATATCTTAAGCACTTGTATACAGTGTATTCAAAACCAATGCTATTTTTTTTCTTTCCAGTTCTTTTAAAATGTCAGGTGCCATTTACATGAGATTCATATTTTGATACTTTGCTGTATTATTACAGTATGTATGGTATTATTCTAACAAGTTATAGAGGAATAACATCAATAATTTTATGGCAAAGAACAAAGCATCATATTGCTGACAATAATGAAGACTAAATTGATTAGTGGTGTTTTTTTCAATGGAAAGGTGTTGAAGACGGAAATTGGAAAAAAAACCTGGAAAGAAGAACTCATTGACCATTTTAATTTATGTATGTCTTGGCACTTAGAAAAATGGGAACTCACACAGACATGCATATGGATGAGAGTCTGAACACAGATCCTACACACAAGGATTAATGACTCCGCCAAAATCCTGGTTAGACTGTGATAATGGCTCGTACTGGTGGCAAAAACCATGAATACTTGTTAGCAAAGACCCCTGCGCATGGTGGCTTTCAGATTTGCAGGGCTCTGCACCCGATCTGGTGTCGAACTTACTCTGTCAAGCCAGCTAATTATAATTTTGAATATTCACGAGTCTACGTATTTGGTCTTTATTATTTGACTCTGATAAGTGATAACTACATAACCATGTTAATGCCAAGCACAATATCTTTAGCTTTAAAATGAACCAAAAAAAGTTACTTTTGTTTCATCGGTTCGGGATCACTCTCTCTAAAACTTTTTAGTGAAAGCCTAATTAAAAACGAAATTTGGGAAAACAGTGTTCTCCTCGAAATTTGAAGTTTATTTCCCGGGTAAATACTTCATCTATGATGACAAAACCATCTGTTATATCCTGAAGTATTTATTTGTTAACAATTTTGGAATAATTATATCTTACATAAGGAGTAGTTTTGCTTGCAGTTTACATTTTAGATGTCGTGCAAAAACCCCAACACAATGGCACACCTGCAAAATTCGCGATTACGCACCAACGGGTATAAATGCCTGCTATCACACGTCTAACCAATTAAGGAAAGTCCACTCAGTGCATTTTGTACCAGAGCTCAGAACAGTCGTTTATCCTTGTGTGTAGGATCCGTGGTCTGAACACGATAAAAGTGATCACTGATTTCACAGGAGTCAACATTTTATGTGACACCTTACCTCATCTCCATCCAAGGACTTCACATACTGTAAATTACCAGAGACAGTATTTCTGTATATCAAGTGCACTATTAAGTCCTCCACTTGTTGACCATCTCCCGTATCAATAACAGTGACAGCAGTCAATCTACGAAGCTCGTCAAACTGCACCTATGGGAGTCAACATATATATACAGAAGCAATGTTGGTTTTTAAAGATCTGTGCAGCCATGTGGTTGCGTAGGCCTAAGCGTCACCGTTGTTAAACAAAGTTAATCCGATTACATACATGGACACTACTATCAGAGCAGTGAAATTCATGCAGCAAAACACATGGCCTTTTGAATGTTATGTTTTTCTGGGGAAACAAATGCTAAATATGACTGAAATGATAAATTATAATGTAAGAAAAAAATTCTAAATTTTATGTCAGTGAACAAAATATTGATGCCAAAACGTCATTACTGGAACGTGCATGCTGTCAAGTTGGCTGACTTGGGGGCAACAATGATGAAGCTCACATTAGCATTTTCATTAGCGTGACTTGGCATGACTTTTCGTGGGTCTCGAAATGGACCAATGGAAGCCAGCAAAAAGGGTGATATTTATTAATAGCTCGTTAAGAACGCAATACTCCACAATTTTACTGCACACCACAATGGATAGGAACCTTATTACTATTCATGAGGCTTGACAAGATTAAAAGATATTGCAAACACCAGTGTAACTGAAAAATAAACGTACCCAAGCATATTTTTTCAATTTCAATGAAAAATAATGATCATATCAAAATGATGTTTAGCACTTAGTTGGATCATTATAAGGAGAAAAACCCTAAAAGTTGCATGAAGATATGGTCTTCCCAAGTAAAAAAATTACTTTGCAAAGATTTCTCCAGCAAACATCCACATGTCTGTGTGCATGTTGTTTCATTCAAAATCAAGTATTACGTATCATGGCTGTGTGGACTGACTTAAAGCGATGACGCTTTTTATTGTCATCTTTTTCTTTAACTGCAGGTTTCAGTATTAAAAAAATATCTAAAAAATGGGAGCAGTAAGGCAAAAAATACTGCAATTAATTGAGACTTGCGCAATCCCCCTGGCATGCTGGCAGTTTTTTGATAAAGTCAGTGTTGTAGTTGAGTACTTTTTGCCGAGTACCAAGTACCTAGGTTGCCGAGTATGAGTTCGAGTACTTGTGCTTCCGAGTACAAGAACAGGTCTCCGAGTACGAGTACTTGAACGTCCAAGTACAAGTACGAGTACGAGTACTTGTACGTACGAGTACGAGTACGAGTACTTGTATTTTCAAATACGGCACCAGGAACATTGTGCTTAAAGCTTAAAATTATATGTACTGTTAATCACTTGCAATACAAACTAGGGTTCGTCTTTGTAAGCTTTTTCAATTATTTGAAATTAATTTGTTTTTTAAATCGGCAACAGCAGTCTCAAATCAATGTACACTGTAAATGCATTTTTCAAGGAAATACTACACAGCTGAGACACAGACATGAAAGTTTAGGTCAACTGTCATATAATACAATTAATGTACAGTGTTGTGCATTTAATTGGCTTCGACTGTGTCTCTTTCTCCATTCATGCGGATTGGCAATGGGGCTGGACCCGTATTACAAGACCAAAACCAGGTTCAGAAAACTGCTTTGCTCCAATCACCCAAGTTAATTGTACGCCCATTTTGAGGAACACCTCGGCGTACAATGTGTACAATGATTGGCCAATGTGCTCACATACAGCAAATCATCATTGTGCGTAACTGGCCCAGGCCCAGTCAGACCTACATACAGACCCAGCCACGGCTAGCTGTTTATTGTGTTTGTCTGGAGAAAACTCTCGACTTCTCCGCAAACGACCAATTGAAACTGAAAGTATTGATAAAATAAGGCCGTGGTAACGTAAGTGATATACTATTTTTTTTTATCAAGTACCGCTATTTGAGTACGAGTATTTTGTTTATCGAGTACTGTTATTCGAGTACGAGTACTTTGATGATCGAGTACAATTTCGACACGTGCGAGTACGAGTACTTCACTGCTCAAGGAAGAGTGCCGTCATATCGAGTATGAATACTTTGACATTCCAGTATGAGTACAAGTGCCCCAAAAAGTACTTGAGTAGTACTCCAGTACAAGTAACGAGTACGAGGACTACAACACTGGATAAAGTCAGTGTCCCTAACCAAAATGGAAGATTTCCATTGTTTTAGTAAGAGTGACCTTGACCTTTAAACTCTCAGCCCAAATTAACAGACGTGATAAGACTACCAAGAGCAACCCACAAACCAAATTTGAAGTTCCTCATGCAGCAAAGTATTGCTCAAGCATTTGTGCTGAGCTGACAATATTTCCATTGTTTTAGCAATATTGACCTTGACCTTTGACCTGTCAGCCCCAAAAGGAAGAATCTTCTTAAGACTTTCAAGAACAACCTACAACCCCAATTTGAAGTTCCTCGGTTAAGTATTTCTCAAGCATTCGTGCTGAATATTTTTCCATTGTTTTAGAAATATTGACCTTGACATCTGGCCTGTCAGCCCCAAATCAATAGGCGTGATAAGGCTATCTTCTTAAGTTACCACGTTGACAAGATTTCTATTGTTTTAGCAATATTGACCTTGACCTTTGACCTGTTGACCCAAAAGCGATTGGCTTTTTAAGACTACCAAGAAAAACCCATAAACCAAACTTCAAGTTCCTAAGTAGAGTATTTCTGAAGTTACCATGTTGACAATGGTACCGTTAATTTTATACTTTTTTTTAGCAGTATAGTGACCTTGACCTTTGACCTGTCAGGCCCCAAAATCAATGGGCTTTGAAGAATATCAAGAACAACCAAAACCTAACCAAAACATAACACACACACAAACAGATACATACTGAAATTTGTATCCTTGTGGAGTCATTTCTTTGTTCTCGTCTACTAAATTTTTTGAGTTTGAAATTGCCCTATGGAGATACAATCTTTTGTTTCCTATTGTGCACATGTCACTAGAGGGTACCGTGTTACAGATCATACATACAGACACACGCATACACACAGAAGGAACACGCTATCGCAATATCCCCCTCCGACTTACAGCCAGGGGGATAAAAAGGCAACCTCCCACATAGATCGTGTAGAATTTCTCGAACCTGTAAATAACTGAATGCTTTCTAGTCTACTTGGGACGTGGCCAGAGCAAAATAATCCATTGAGCCACTCACACATGCCTACTAAGCCCCCAACAACCATCGAGTCATTTATACCAAATCAACAACATTGTGAGACGACATGTTTGAGCTGTGCAATAGAGTATCTGTTGACAATATTCTGTTGACTATGATAAATGGATGTAAAACCCTCTCCAGCAGTAAAGATTTGACTTACTTTAATCAAACCATGTTCTGCAGTAAAAGTCCATGCTGTTCCATTGAGCAACCCCAGTGATGGGTCATTGTTGTCCACTGGTATGTTGCCATCGGTGAATGAAATATTTCGTGCAATCTGCCCATCCGGATCCATCAGCAATGGATACTGACAAACTTTGATAAAATTAATTGCAGTAAGAATGTAGTTACAGACATATTTTGAACTCTGTAAATGTTACAAATCACAGAATTGACAAACTGAAATAAGCAGCCCGTTTTCTTTTATGTAAAGCAAAGTAAAAACAGAAAACAATATTACTCTTATTACTATTGTAATTTTACAGTGCGAAAAACAAGAAGCTGACAATCATAACTTGAACATAAAATCAAAAGTTCAGAGACAATTTCATATTTTTCTTCAAAATTGTATAGATGGTGATAAAATAATTGCGACTGCTTAGGCTACTTTTTTTGCAGCCTCTTGTATGTAAAATAGGTACTTTTATTATTTTGTTGGTTCATGTAATGAATGCAACTTGAGGTTACACTTGTTCCTACCTGGTGATGTTGTAGTGGGGCCAGATGTAGACGGGGCAGTTGTTGTAGTCCGCTCTGTTGAAAAATATGTCACGCATACATGTACAAATAGCTGAAATCTTTTTTTTAATAACACATTTCATACAACAAATAACACAAAGAAGAAGATGCCATTTAAACTTCATACAGATTAACTCCATTTTCATGTTTTATGATCGTGCAAAGTTGAAAGAACACATTAAAGATACATGTAGACTTATTTGCTAAAATCTCTGGTGTTAACCTGGCCTATATCACACAGCTCTTGGATCCTCTCTTATCTGGACTGTAGGCCTTATATCACCCAACAATGATGACGACTATTCCCTGGTAGATAAAGATCTATCTTGGATCCTCTCTTGTCAGTATTCACATGTTTATCTTTGATGGTTGAATAAGTGAATGTGCTGTTGATCCCCTTAACCCCCCCCCCCCCCCACAATCCTAGTTTTCATTACTAAGATTACACAGTGACCATTCCTTTACTGATCAGTGGGGTAAACATTGAGATTGTGCAAAATTACAAATCCTTGGGAACAATGATTGACAGCAAGCTAGATTGGAGAGAACACTCCCTCACAGCAAAGGGAAATCAGAGGTTATATTTCCTGCGTGAGCTACTTTCTATTCGGGTCATTATGAATCTTGTTTACACCTTGGTCAAATAGAAAGTGTCATCATTCACGACTGTGCAGTTTGGTACAATGGAGCAATGAAACAACTATCAAATATTGGGGGAATGGAATTTGGGTGAAGTCTGCAGGGAGAGGATACTATCTAAGGCTCTAAGTGTGGTGGAAAATGGTGTGCATCCCCTCAATACATATTTCAAAATGCTTAGTAGTGGTAGGAGATTTCAGTCAGTAAGGGCAAGAACAAACCGGTATCTCAATTCATTTGTACCGTTTCAAAACATCTCCTCAATGATCAGCATCGATGCAACTAACATCTTTAACTACACGTATCTTATCAATATTACCCTTTTCCAAAACAGTCAGGTTTTCAAATTGTTTTTCCACATCTGTAATTTTGACAAATATGCTTAAATATTTATTGTCATAGTATTTGTAAGTATATTGTAAGTTACTTACTTAATTTTCTGGATTTTATGTATTGCATGTGACGGAAACAAATTTCCCGGAAAGAACACTAAATTGAAGTTGAATTGAAATTGGAATGTAAAGGCCCTTTGCATACAGAAGCAATTTTAGATTCAAACCAACCATGGAGTTATAAAACGGATGAAGCAACTCAGTCGTTCTCCAACTCATCCGCTGTGCCAACTTGACCATTCCGACTTGTCTGTTGACCAACTTGACTTAAAATAAGGAGTCATCTCGAACATTTGCCAACTCGTCTGTTGTATAACTCAACTTAAACCATTGCTATGACGTCACACTATTGTTAAAAGTGTGGATTCGGATCTACGAATCTCTTACACTGGTCACAAAGTGTGGATTTGGAACGAAGAATCTTTAGTAAAGTGTGGATTCGGAATTACGAATCCACACTTTGAAAACGTCGGACAATTGTTCTCCATAATGAGCATGAATAGGACCGTCTGCGTGAAAATTTGCTTTCCGAAAATTACCAATGCATCTTCACTGTCAGCTTTTCCGCCGTCACTGCAAAATTTACTTTTAAATTAGTCAGAAAGAAATCGTCGTCTCAACTATCCATTTTGACGTATGTGGCGATACACATGCTAAACACGCCAGGAAACAATGTTGCAACCTGACGCCACTTCCGCACTTGTGTACAACGTTTATGGAGAGTCATTTCAAGTATTTCCTAACAATTTTGGAAACGTTTATCAGTCCCAGATTCATGTCTTATTATCAATTTTGCAACAAATGGCCTTCATTGAGATGATATATGAAGAAAAAAGTGGCGTCAGGTTGCAGCATTCTTTCTTATACTTCTGTTGACGCAATGGTTTAAGTCGAAGAATACACTCGCAAGTGTGGATTCTTAATTTACGAATTCACACTTTCTCGTGTATTCTCCTTAACTTAAAACATGGAACTAGTCAACTTGACCAACAAAATAAGTTTGAGTTTTGTGTCTTTGATTCTTCCAGTTGTAAGAGCTGCATTCTTTTGCGAGCTGGGCAATATGTGAAGCGAGCAGCTTTATCTGGGACAATTTTGTTACCAACATTGTATATGCAAGATAATTGTCGCTTTGGTGCATGACAATTATATTGTTTTGTTCTTGGTAAACCTATACACTTACACAAAGTTGGAGATAGTTCTTTCAGTTTATACAGCATTTCCAATAAGAGTCTGTCAATCAATTTCAGTCATCATCACTGATTGATCAGATCCTTAATCAATGGGCCAGCAGCCATGCATCCTCCACAGACACACCTGCTCAATATCACAGAAGACCAATCAACTTGAAGTAGAAAGTTGCTGTCTGTCAACTTGTCATGTCAACGGCCTAACCCTTTGGGGGTTTAGGGCCGCACTTAAGTAAAAACAAGAACTGATATGAAAATAAAAATATAAAAATTATTCACTTTCGAATAAGCTATCCAACAAAAAATCTAGCAAACATACGTTATTAAATTGTTTCTTTACCAAATTTGAAATATTTCAGGGCCGGTCCTACTTCAGGATTGAATTTAAATTATCTGGACTGACTGTAGGCCTTAATATTTATGTTATTTTTGTTGCTTTTTCATCTGTTTCTTTATTATCTGTTTATTAAATGAAGTTTTTCTCCCTTTTAATTATTATTACCTTTGAATTTTGTCTATAATAAATTTTATAATTGTTATTATATTGATATTGCTTCTTAACATTTCCTCCGCACCTTAAAGACCACCGCACTCTTCACATTACAGCTACAAACAGATCCAGAACAGCATCTCTGCGAACATCCATTCAGAAAGCAAGAATGATGTGAATAGCCACATCGTAAAAATAAAATGGGCACATGGTCTGATCTGGGGAAGTCAGGTTGGCGTAGCGGTACTTTCCCCGCTCTGATTCGAATCCCGCCTAAGCCAACATATGGATTGGGTTTTCATGGGTTCCCCCCAGATTATTCTTCTGGTGTTTCCTCCCACCTCTAAAACTGTAATTGCTTCTCATTGTCTTCTCTCCACAGATTTTTCAGGCTTGTGAGCTTCAGTGCCTAGGGTGCTTTTGAGAAACCCTTGGTTACCAGAAACAAGTAAAAATAATAATAACAATAACCAAGCAGACGAGTGCTTTGCTGTTCCTGTGCTGCTATACAGTTTTGGCGTTATGTAATGGCAGATAGATGAGATACGGCTTTTGGACAATATAACAAGTAATTCTTTTAGACTGGGGGGTTGGGGGCTGGGCTATTGAATCATCCATCCATGGGCTATTGAATCATGATGAAAAAACAAATTGAGGCATTTCAAAGTATTTTACAACCAAAATGTATTCAACAGCACTGAAAAACAGAAAACACTTTTTAAATGTGCCATTTTGACGTAAGCGAGAGTATACATATTGATATACAATTATATCCTGAAGAGCGCCACCTAGTGTAATGTGGTGGGTCCCCCCCCCCCCCCCTTAGATCTTCCAAGGCCGGTCAATTTTGGATTTTGGTCATCCCCATCCCCCCACTCGCCTGCAAAGATTTACGCCACTTCCTCAAAAAAATTTAACATGACAGCAGGCTCATCCACTTCATAACCAAACAGGCGAGTGCAATCTGCCAGAAAGCTGACATTGGCGTCCTCTGTCCTTCATCAAAACTGGAGTACCGTCAAACAACGCCGTGAGGCTAAAATCATTGAAGTCAGCATTCCTGCAGACGGCAAAATCAGAACGAAGTTTGCCAAAAAACAAGACAAACACCAAGACCTGAGAATGGAGATCCAGAAAATGTGGCACGTCAAGGCCACCATACATCCTGTCATCATCGGTTCAACTGGTCTCATGCTGAAGGACACAGTCCAACAGGCTGAACACCTTGGGTACAGACACACCTTCTCCAACGGACAGTCATCCTCCAAACATGCAACATCACCCGTTGCTTCCTAAACCAAACCATTTAGCTCCTGGTGCATCATCAACTGCGATGCAAACCTACAGCGGCAGAGTAGCTAAAATGTTTTTCTTTGGACTAATCATAGTCTTGAAAAACTGTATTCCGCTGGCTGATAAAGCTTTGTTAACTAGAAATAATAATACTTATAACTCTGGATTGCAGGATAGGGCGACACTTCCATAGAAACGTGCACAAAATTTTTCAAACTTTAATGTGACCTAACCCAATTTTACCTAATCAGATCCCAACCAAGTTTGATATGTGTACATTTTCACGAGCAATCGATCTAGCCCAATTGCGACCATACAATTCCTTTGCTAAAGGGTAGTTACCTCAAAAAAGGGACACCCAAAGTGTCGCCCTTACTAATAATAATTATAAATATAAATTCATGCTAATAATAATTATCACCCTGGATTAGACATTTGGGAGACATCCCCATAGACTTGTGCACAACATTTTTCAAAGTTAAATGTGCCCTAACCCAATATTCCCTTGTCCTTTTTCCACAAATTTTGGTATGTTTACTAATAAGACAACGAGCAACAAACAGGCCTATAATCTAATTGCGACAGTAAAATTTTGCCTCTAAAAGGGAGCTGTGACATTAGGGAGACATGAAAAAAGTCAATTTCAGGTCTCTCACGATTGATTTCATATTGATTTTCAAAGATTAAATCTAGAAATCTGTAATTGCTTCATTTGCTTGTAATTTTATAAACGATGAAGTCACAATGACGTTGTTACATTTTATGCATCTTCAGTTGGTTTTGCATTTATGTATTCAAATTGAAGTTGGTATCAGTTTTCATGTTGACAAACAGTTCTGGAGACGCAGTGGCTGAGGAGAATAATAATAATAGTGAATTCTTACATTAAAAATAGGACACCGAACAAGTTGGACAAAGGAGGATAGAATTTTCAGTGGGAAGCACGGCGGTCCAATTGGCACAATGGTCACAATGTCAAATGGTCCAGTTGTTTTGAGTTGACGAGATACCTATAAAATGTCAATGCTGTTACCGATTAGCTGGTTCCCAATCCCTATTCTTTAGTTATCATTTCATTCGGCAAGAACCTGTCTAGTCTATAGCTAGGTGCTAAGCAAAGATGCTACAGGGCCGTAGGCACTGTAGTCAAAATCAACGTCAAAATATTTTTCAGATGAGTTTTTGTAAGTCATTTAAGGGCAATGTGAATATGTTTTTGCCATACACAACTCAAGTCTCATTTCAAAATATGACTTCAACATGTAAACAATTATATTTGTATTCACTCTGTAAAGTTGCAGCAGTGTGGCATGGCTGGGTTTATTCTCGCCTATGACTGAGTCCTTCCACTGGTTCCAAAAAATGACTAGGTTATTATCTCCCTCAGCTACTCGTTTTGAGGATCAGACATTCATGTCTGCAGAGCCACGGTTCAACGTCTGATATATCCTAAAGTACCAATTTTATGCACCCCGAATGTTAACCAATCAGAGTTCGATTTCAAAACTGTGACTACAGAAATGTGGACTAAGCTGTTGATTGGTCAATTGAATGCTCAGAATCTTACAGTATTTTCGGCATAATTAGCTGCTGAATCTGCTCGCATATCATAGACAGGCATGCAACTGGGAAGTCACACAAAAAAAGAGGAAATTCAAATCTTTCCAAGACTTTGTAATGTTTTTTTACTTCTAATGGCACACATGGGAAGTAAAAATATGAGGAAATCAGATGATCTGAGGAAAAGTTGCATGCCTGCTTAGATCCTTGTTGTGTAAGGGGAAATTCCATACACTAAACTGACCCATTGTGCGGGTAAACGTTTCCAAATCTGAGGGCTAACTTGCAGCATTAGTTTGTATTCCCAAATTATAAAAGTTTTGGCGAGACAATTGATTTTGAACCATCCGACGGTAAATGAACCATTGGGGCCTAACAACGAATGCACTAAAGGTCCATTTAGGAAATATCCTTGTGGTTCAAAAGCACGCATCTCAAGGATGTCAGCAATGCAAAGGATGTTTTCTCAGAAACAATTCAAGCAAGCTCTTACCAGGAAGTGCACAGCCGTTAAATACCACAAAGAAGTTGTCATTGGCGTCTGGATTGATGATGTAGACTTCCACCTCCACCATGGATAGCGGGCCATCAGAAAGTAGAATCTTTTGTCCAAAAGTGCCCACAAATACCGATGAACCTTCTGGGTCCAATAGGGGTATCAGGTCAGTCCTCTCATATGGTTTGAATTTAAATGCCACCTCAGTTAGTCCAGAGTTTCCACTATCCTTGTGGATTGTGACAGATGTCACATTAACTCTTGGAGTAAAAGTCACCCTCAAGGAGGACCCTGAGTATGGCATTGATGGGTTAGGAGGGCTGCTTGGCCTCCATGCGTCTTCTGGACCAATAGAGGCACCACTCTCAGTAGTTCTGCTCACAGACACTTCATTGGATCTGTCCAGGTTTTCATCACACACCACCTCAGTTGTTGTTTCAATGGTTGTGCTTGCTGCTAGGAAGAATAAATATGGCAATATCAATAACTTGAAATAAAGGTGAAAATATCAATACATAACTTGTTATTATGAACCATCACTCGGGAACAAGCTGCAGTATAATATCCCCGACTCCAATTGGATTGTGGTTTTCTTTGTGCATTTTGACCATTTGTTGTAGTGGAATAACTGGTTATTCAATGTTTACCACCATTCAGCAATTGTTGTATAGGTTTCCGTATTTCACGATATTTTCTCCAGTTTTCTAATGTGGACTTTTCAGTGTGAATAAGGCAATTCAACGTAACAACTGTGTTTTAATGCTAGCATTTACCCTTACAAATCTGCATGGTTAACATGTTGTTTTATACAATTGGAATAAAATTTGCCCTTTCCAGAAGGATTCAGATAAAAAAAACTGTTCAATTTCGATTTCATCTAACACAGACATATGTGTTATTCTAAAACCTCTGAATATTATTCTTAAAAATTATATTGTTTCCTCACTGCACAATACCATACAGTATCAAATGTTTTAATGCTAGTATAAGACAAGAAATCCACCATATCATTTGAGTAGGCTTATGCTACCTATTGAGTAATCTTTATTTCAGATCTTACCTGTAGTTGTTGGAACAGCTACTGTAGTTGGAGGGACTATAGGACAAATTCAAAAGGCAACAGTTTTACAAAAGTTTGCTAAAAACACTGAAAGTCTAGAATGACAGTTAGATAATTGTCAAAGGCGAGTTGATTTCTGTAAAAAGGCAAAATCAGATCCATCACAGTTGATTTTCAATTGATTTTCAAAGATCAATCACATGCTCTCACTTTGAACATACCGGTATATGCACACCTACTGCATTGTAAACTGATCAAGAGCAATCATTAAAAAAAAAAAAAAAAAAAAATAGCTCACATTCCTTAATGTAAAGGTCGCAGACAAGTAATTTTTTTTCAAAATGTACAACCTAGCCAGAGACAAACTTCATTGAAAGCAATTTCACATCTTTTTCCACTATCAAATTATGAGGCACTTCCAGTTCGGTCTGGAAGGAAGGGTCATGTGATTTGACACACAAGATAAAATAAAGATCCTGGATTATTCTATCGATTCCCGCAAAAGTCAATTTCAGGTCTCTCATGGTTGATTTTATATTGATTTTCAAAGATTAAATCTAGAAATCTTTAATTGCTTCATTTGCTTCTTATTATATAAATGATGACGTCACAATGACATTAGTACGTCAAAATGTTTTTCAGATGCGTTTTTGTAAGTCATTTAAGGGCAATGTGAATATGTTTTTGCCGTACACAACTCAAGTCTCATTTCAAAATTTGACTTCAACATGTAAACAATTATATTTGTATTCACTCTGTAAAGTTGCAGCAGTGTGGCATGGCTGGGTTTATTCTCGCCTATGACTGAGTCCTTCCACTGGTTCCAAAAAATGACTAGGTTATTATCTCCCTCAGCTACTCGTTTTGAGGATCAGACATTCATGTCTGCAGAGCCACGGTTCAACATCTGATATATCCTAAAGTACCAATTTTATGCTCCCCGAATGTTAACCAATCAGAGTCCCATTTCAAAACTGTGACTTCAGAAATGTGGACTAAGCTGTTGATTGGTCAATTGAATGCTCAGAATCTTACGGATTTTTTGGCATAATTAGCTGCTGAATCTGCTCGCATATAATACAGAGATGAAACTGGCATATGGCAAAAAAATCGGAAAATAGGCCGAACAAAGATATGTGTCCGAAATCTGGGCCGCGCTGCCATTACACACATGTACATGTACATATACAATACACTTCATGCCCAATTTCCGGACACCAACACCTGCTTTATTTTCGATTCAAACAAAATTTTACGATGAAAAAAATAAAGGTCCGTGGTTTCATTGCATAAAATGCCTGAATTACGGTAAGAGTAATGGAGTCATCAATAAAGAAGTTCACTTCTTCCTTGAGAAAGTCAAGGGAAAAGTCCAAAAGACAAGGGCACCGTTCATGGTGCTTCAATCATGTCCATGATTCAACCACACAACTCCACTACTCCACTTGCATTCATACGTGGGAAAAAATCTTTCTTTTCCAACAAATGCCAGTGAAATGTTTCGCTAATGCTTTCTTCGCTATCCTCGAGATAATCATCATGATTTTTAAAGCACTGCATTTTGTACAACTAAATCTGAAACCTCTGGAAATCGCACAACATAATGATTTTATCCACTGGATCGTTCACAATTAAGGCTACCCGTTCCCTACCGGCCATGTGCTAGTGGTACGGTGTGGTACGTACGCTGTACCATTGCATATTCGCACGCACATGCTACACAGTGATTTTCCATGTCGCCTGTCAATGTTTAACCTTTTGTCCAGCCGGAGAAGGCTCCAATCAGTGTTATGCCCTGTGTTTCTACCGTTGAAACACTCCAATAACGACTGGTGAAAGAGATTAAAACTACGTTGGCGATGATTTTAACGTGCCATTTCCATCGACTTTTCTTCAAAATTATGATTGAAATAAAATGACTTTTTGTGAAAAAATCGTTAGAAAATCAAATTTTCTGGGACATACTGTAAAAAAATCGGAAATTTCGTTGGAAAATTTAAAAAGTCGGATTTCCGATTAAAATCGGAAAAGTTTCATCTCTGGTCATAGACAGGCATCCAACTGGGAAGTCACTCAAAAAAGAGGAAATTCAAGTTTCATCTCTGGTCATAGACAGGCATCCAACTGGGAAGTCACTCAAAAAAGAGGAAATTCAAATCTTTCCAAGACTTTGTCATGTTTTTTTATTTCTAATGGCACACATGGGAAGTAAAAAAAAGAGGAAATCAGCTGATCTGAGGAAAATTGCATGCCTGCTTAAATCCTTGTTGTGTAAGGGGCAATTCCATACACTAAACTGACCCATTGTGCGGGTAAACGTTTCCAAATCTGAGGGCTAACTTGCAGCATTAGTTTGTATTCCCAAATTCAAAAGGTTTTGGCGAGACAATTGATTTTGAACCATCCGACGGTAAAACAACCATTGGGGCCTAACAACGAATGCACTAAAGGTCCATTTAGGAAATATCCTTGTGGTTCAAAAGCACGCATCTCAAGGATGTCAGCAATGCAAAGGATGTTTTCTCAGAAACAATTCAAGCAAGCTCTTACCAGGAAGTGCACAGCCGTTAAATACCACAAAGAAGTTGTCATTGGCGTCTGGATTGATGATGTAGACTTCCACCTCCACCATGGATAGCGGGCCATCAGAAAGTAGAATCTTTTGTCCAAAAGTGCCCACAAATACCGATGAACCTTCTGGGTCCAATAGGGGTATCAGGTCAGTCCTCTCATATGGTTTGAATTTAAATGCCACCTCAGTTAGTCCAGAGTTTCCACTATCCTTGTGGATTGTGACAGATGTCACATTAACTCTTGGAGTAAAAGTCACCCTCAAGGAGGACCCTGAGTATGGCATTGATGGGTTAGGAGGGCTGCTTGGCCTCCATGCGTCTTCTGGACCAATAGAGGCACCACTCTCAGTAGTTCTGCTCACAGACACTTCATTGGATCTGTCCAGGTTTTCATCACACACCACCTCAGTTGTTGTTTCAATGGTTGTGCTTGCTGCTAGGAAGAATAAATATGGCAATATCAATAACTTGAAATAAAGGTGAAAATATCAATACATAACTTGTTATTATGAACCATCACTCGGGAACAAGCTGCAGTATAATATCCCCGACTCCAATTGGATTGTGGTTTTCTTTGTGCATTTTGACCATTTGTTGTAGTGGAATAACTGGTTATTCAATATTTACCACCATTCAGCAATTGTTGTATAGGTTTCCGTATTTCACGATATTTTCTCCAGTTTTCTAATGTGGACTTTTCAGTGTGAATAAGGCAATTCAACGTAACAACTGTGTTTTAATGCTAGCATTTACCCTTACAAATCTGCATGGTTAACATGTTGTTTTATACAATTGGAATAAAATTTGCCCTTTCCAGAAGGATTCAGATAAAAAAAACTGTTCAATTTCGATTTCATCTAACACAGACATATGTGTTATTCTAAAACCTCTGAATATTATTCTTAAAAATTATATTGTTTCCTCACTGCACAATACCATACAGTATCAAATGTTTTAATGTTAGTATAAGACAAGAAGTCCACCATATCATTTGAGTAGGCTTATGCTATCTATTGAGTAATCTTTATTTCAGATCTTACCTGTAGTTGTTGGAACAGCTACTGTAGTTGGAGGGACTATAGGACAAATTCAAAAGGCAACAGTTTTACAAAAGTTTGCTAAAAACACTGAAAGTCTAGAATGACAGTTAGATAATTGTCAAAGGCGAGTTGATTTCTGTAAAAAGGCAAAATCAGATCCATCACAGTTGATTTTCAATTGATTTTCAAAGATCAATCACATGCTCAAACTTTGAACATACCGGTATATGCACACCTACTGCATTGTAAACTGATCAAGAGCAATCATTAAAAAAAAAAATTAAAAAAAATAGCTCACATCTCTTAATGTAAAGGTCGCAGACAAGTAATTTTTTTTTCAAAATGTACAACCTAGCCAGAGACAAACTTCATTGAAAGCAATTTCACATCTTTTTCCACTATCAAATTATGAGGCACTTCCAGTTTGGTCTGGAAGGAAGGGTCATGTGATTTGACACACAAGATAAAATAAAGATCCTGGATTATTCTATCGATTCCCGCAAAAGTCAATTTCAGGTCTCTCACGGTTGATTTTATATTGATTTTCAAAGATTAAATCTAGAAATCTTTAATTGCTTCATTTGCTTCTTATTATATAAATGATGACGTCACAATGACATTAGTACGTCAAAATGTTTTTTAGATGCGTTTTTTGTAAGTCATTTAAGGGCAATGTGAATATGTTTTTGCCGTACACAACTCAAGTCTCATTTCAAAATTTGACTTCAACATGTAAACAATTATATTTGTATTCACTCTGTAAAGTTGCAGCAGTGTGGCATGGCTGGGTTTATTCTCGCCTATGACTGAGTCCTTCCACTGGTTCCAAAAAAAGACTAGGTTATTATCTCCCTCAGCTACTCGTTTTGAGGATCAGACATTCATGTCTGCAGAGCCACGGTTCAACGTCTGATATATCCTAAAGTACCAATTTTATGCTCCCCGAATGTTAACCAATCAGAGTCCCATTTCAAAACTGTGACTTCAGAAATGTGGACTAAGCTGTTGATTGGTCAATTGAATGCTCAGAATCTTACGGATTTTTCGGCATAATTAGCTGCTGATTCTGCTCGCATATAATACAGAGATGAAACTGGCATATGGCAAAAAAATCGGAAAATAGGCCGAACAAAGATATGTGTCCGAAATCTGGGCCGCGCTGCCATTACACACATGTACATGTACATATACAATACACTTCATGCCCAATTTCCGGACACCAACACCTGCTTTATTTTCGATTCAAACAAAATTTTACGATGAAAAAAATAAAGGTCCGTGGTTTCATTGCATAAAATGCCTGAATTACGGTAAGAGTAATGGAGTCATCAATAAAGAAGTTCACTTCTTCCTTGAGAAAGTCAAGGGAAAAGTCCAAAAGACAAGGGCACCGTTCATGGTGCTTCAATCATGTCCATGATTCAACCACACAACTCCACTACTCCACTTGCATTCATACGTGGGAAAAAATCAGGCATTATCGTCTTTCTTTTCCAACAAATGCCAGTGAAATGTTGCGCTAATGCTCTCTTCGCTATCCTCGAGATAATCATCATGATTTTTAAAGCACTGCATTTTGTACAACTAAATCTGAAACCTCTGGAAATCGCACAACATAATGATTTTATCCACTGGATCGTTCACAATTAAGGCTACCCGTTCCCTACCGGCCATGTGCTAGTGGTACGGTGTGGTACGTACGCTGTACCATTGCATATTCGCACGCACATGCTACACAGTGATTTTTCCATGTCATCTGTCAATGTTTAACCTTTTGTCCAGTCGGAGAAGGCTCCAATCAGTGTTATGCCCTGTGTTTCTACCGTTGAAACACTCCAATAACGACTGGTGAAAGAGATTAAAACTACGTTGGCGATGATTTTAACGTGCCATTTCCATCGACTTTTCTTCAAAATTATGATTGAAATAAAATGACTTTTTGTGAAAAAATCGTTAGAAAATCAAATTTTGTGGGACATACTGTAAAAAAATCGGAAATTTCGTTGGAAAATTTAAAAAGTCGGATTTCCGATTAAAATCAGAAAAGTTTCATCTCTGATCATAGACAGGCATGCAACTGGGAAGTCACACAAAAAAGAGGAAATTCAAATCTTTCCAAGACTTTGTCATGTTTTTTTTATTTCTAATGGCACACATGGGAAGTACCCCGAATGTTAACCAATCAGAGTTCGATTTCAAAACTGCGACTACAGAAATGTGGACTAAGCTGTTGATTGGTCAATTGAATGCTCAGAATCTTACAGTATTTTCGGCATAATTAGCTGCTGAATCTGCTCGCATATCATAGACAGGCATGAAACTGGGAAGTCACACAAAAAAGAGGAAATTCAAATCTTTCCAAAACTTTGTAATGTTATTTTATTTCTAATGGCACACATGGGAAGTAAAAAAATGAGGAAATCAGATGATCTGAGGAAAAGTTGCATGCCTGCTTAGAGCCTTGTTGTGTAAGGGGAAATTCCATACACTAAACTGACCCATTGTACGGGTAAACGTTTCCAAATCTGAGGGCTAACTTGCAGCATTAGTTTGTATTCCCAAATTATAAAAGGTTTGGCGAGACAATTGATTTTGAACCATCCGACGGTAAATGAACCATTGGGGCCTAACAACGAATGCACTAAAGGTCCATTTAGGAAATATCCTTGTGGTTCAAAAGCACGCATCTCAAGGATGTCAGCAATGCAAAGGATGTTTTCTCAGAAACAATTCAAGCAAGCTCTTACCAGGAAGTGCACAGCCGTTAAATACCACAAAGAAGTTGTCATTGGCGTCTGGATTGATGATGTAGACTTCCACCTCCACCATGGATAGCGGGCCATCAGAAAGTAGAATCTTTTGTCCAAAAGTGCCCACAAATACCGATGAACCTTCTGGGTCCAATAGGGGTATCAGGTCAGTCCTCTCATATGGTTTGAATTTAAATGCCACCTCAGTTAGTCCAGAGTTTCCACTATCCTTGTGGATTGTGACAGATGTCACATTAACTCTTGGAGTAAAAGTCACCCTCAAGGAGGACCCTGAGTATGGCATTGATGGGTTAGGAGGGCTGCTTGGCCTCCATGCGTCTTCTGGACCAATAGAGGCACCACTCTCAGTAGTTCTGCTCACAGACACTTCATTGGATCTGTCCAGGTTTTCATCACACACCACCTCAGTTGTTGTTTCAATGGTTGTGCTTGCTGCTAGGAAGAATAAATATGGCAATATCAATAACTTGAAATAAAGGTGAAAATATCAATACATAACTTGTTATTATGAACCATCACTCGGGAACAAGCTGCAGTATAATATCCCCGACTCCAATTGGATTGTGGTTTTCTTTGTGCATTTTGACCATTTGTTGTAGTGGAATAACTGGTTATTCAATGTTTACCACCATTCAGCAATTGTTGTATAGGTTTCCGTATTTCACGATATTTTCTCCAGTTTTCTAATGTGGACTTTTCAGTGTGAATAAGGCAAGTCAACGTAACAACTGTGTTTTAATGCTAGCCTTTACCCTTACAAATCTGCATGGTTAACATGTTGTTTTATACAATTGGAATAAAATTTGCCCTTTCCAGAAGGATTCAGATAAAAAAAACTGTTCAATTTCGATTTCATCTAACACAGACATATGTGTTATTCTAAAACCTCTGAATATTATTCTTAAAAATTATATTGTTTCCTCACTGCACAATACCATACAGTATCAAATGTTTTAATGCTAGTATAAGACAAGAAATCCACCATATCATTTGAGTAGGCTTATGCTACCTATTGAGTAATCTTTATTTCAGATCTTACCTGTAGTTGTTGGAACAGCTACTGTAGTTGGAGGGACTATAGGACAAATTCAAAAGGCAACAGTTTTACAAAAGTTTGCTAAAAACACTGAAAGTCTAGAATGACAGTTAGATAATTGTCAAAGGCGAGTTGATTTCTGTAAAAAGGCAAAATCAGATCCATCACAGTTGATTTTCAATTGATTTTCAAAGATCAATCACATGCTCTCACTTTGAACATACCGGTATATGCACACCTACTGCATTGTAAACTGATCAAGAGCAATCATTAAAAAAAAAAAATTAAAAAAAATAGCTCACATTCCTTAATGTAAAGGTCGCAGACAAGTAATTTTTTTTCAAAATGTACAACCTAGCCAGAGACAAACTTCATTGAAAGCAATTTCACATCTTTTTCCACTATCAAATTATGAGGCACTTCCAGTTCGGTCTGGAAGGAAGGGTCATGTGATTTGACACACAAGATAAAATAAAGATCCTGGATTATTCTATCGATTCCCGCAAAAGTCAATTTCAGGTCTCTCACGGTTGATTTTATATTGATTTTCAAAGATTAAATCTAGAAATCTTTAATTGCTTCATTTGCTTCTTATTATATAAATGATGACGTCACAATGACATTAGTACGTCAAAATGTTTTTCAGATGCGTTTTTGTAAGTCATTTAAGGGCAATGTGAATATGTTTTTGCCGTACACAACTCAAGTCTCATTTCAAAATTTGACTTCAACATGTAAACAATTATATTTGTATTCACTCTGTAAAGTTGCAGCAGTGTGGCATGGCTGGGTTTATTCTCGCCTATGACTGAGTCCTTCCACTGGTTCCAAAAAATGACTAGGTTATTATCTCCCTCAGCTACTCGTTTTGAGGATCAGACATTCATGTCTGCAGAGCCACGGTTCAACATCTGATATATCCTAAAGTACCAATTTTATGCTCCCCGAATGTTAACCAATCAGAGTCCGATTTCAAAACTGTGACTTCAGAAATGTGGACTAAGCTGTTGATTGGTCAATTGAATGCTCAGAATCTTACGGATTTTTTGGCATAATTAGCTGCTGAATCTGCTCGCATATAATACAGAGATGAAACTGGCATATGGCAAAAAAATCGGAAAATAGGCCGAACAAAGATATGTGTCCGAAATCTGGGCCGCGCTGCCATTACACACATGTACATGTACATATACAATACACTTCATGCCCAATTTCCGGACACCAACACCTGCTTTATTTTCGATTCAAACAAAATTTTACGATGAAAAAAATAAAGGTCCGTGGTTTCATTGCATAAAATGCCTGAATTACGGTAAGAGTAATGGAGTCATCAATAAAGAAGTTCACTTCTTCCTTGAGAAAGTCAAGGGAAAAGTCCAAAAGACAAGGGCACCGTTCATGGTGCTTCAATCATGTCCATGATTCAACCACACAACTCCACTACTCCACTTGCATTCATACGTGGGAAAAAATCAGGCATTATCGTCTTTCTCTTCCAACAAATGCCAGTGAAATGTTTCGCTAATGCTCTCTTCGCTATCCTCGAGATAATCATCATGATTTTTAAAGCACTGCATTTTGTACAACTAAATCTGAAACCTCTGGAAATCGCACAACATAATGATTTTATCCACTGGATCGTTCACAATTAAGGCTACCCGTTCCCTACCGGCCATGTGCTAGTGGTACGGTGTGGTACGTACGCTGTACCATTGCATATTCGCACGCACATGCTACACAGTGATTTTCCATGTCGCCCGTCAATGTTTAACCTTTTGTCCAGCCGGAGAAGGCTCCAATCAGTGTTATGCCCTGTGTTTCTACCGTTGAAACACTCCAATAACGACTGGTGAAAGAGATTAAAACTACGTTGGCGATGATTTTAACGTGCCATTTCCATCGACTTTTCTTCAAAATTATGATTGAAATAAAATGACTTTTTGTGAAAAAATCGTTAGAAAATCAAATTTTCTGGGACATACTGTAAAAAAATCGGAAATTTCGTTGGAAAATTTAAAAAGTCGGATTTCCGATTAAAATCGGAAAAGTTTCATCTCTGGTCATAGACAGGCATCCAACTGGGAAGTCACTCAAAAAAGAGGAAATTCAAATCTTTCCAAGACTTTGTCATGTTTTTTTATTTCTAATGGCACACATGGGAAGTAAAAAAAAGAGGAAATCAGCTGATCTGAGGAAAAGTTGCATGCCTGCTTAGATCCTTGTTGTGTAAGGGGCAATTCCATACACTAAACTGACCCATTGTGCGGGTAAACGTTTCCAAATCTGAGGGCTAACTTGCAGCATTAGTTTGTATTCCCAAATTCAAAAGGTTTGGCGAGACAATTGATTTTGAACCATCCGACGGTAAAACAACCATTGGGGCCTAACAACGAATGCACTAAAGGTCCATTTAGGAAATATCCTTGTGGTTCAAAAGCACGCATCTCAAGGATGTCAGCAATGCAAAGGATGTTTTCTCAGAAACAATTCAAGCAAGCTCTTACCAGGAAGTGCACAGCCGTTAAATACCACAAAGAAGTTGTCATTGGCGTCTGGATTGATGATGTAGACTTCCACCTCCACCATGGATAGCGGGCCATCAGAAAGTAGAATCTTTTGTCCAAAAGTGCCCACAAATACCGATGAACCTTCTGGGTCCAATAGGGGTATCAGGTCAGTCCTCTCATATGGTTTGAATTTAAATGCCACCTCAGTTAGTCCAGAGTTTCCACTATCCTTGTGGATTGTGACAGATGTCACATTAACTCTTGGAGTAAAAGTCACCCTCAAGGAGGACCCTGAGTATGGCATTGATGGGTTAGGAGGGCTGCTTGGCCTCCATGCGTCTTCTGGACCAATAGAGGCACCACTCTCAGTAGTTCTGCTCACAGACACTTCATTGGATCTGTCCAGGTTTTCATCACACACCACCTCAGTTGTTGTTTCAATGGTTGTGCTTGCTGCTAGGAAGAATAAATATGGCAATATCAATAACTTGAAATAAAGGTGAAAATATCAATACATAACTTGTTATTATGAACCATCACTCGGGAACAAGCTGCAGTATAATATCCCCGACTCCAATTGGATTGTGGTTTTCTTTGTGCATTTTGACCATTTGTTGTAGTGGAATAACTGGTTATTCAATGTTTACCACCATTCAGCAATTGTTGTATAGGTTTCCGTATTTCACGATATTTTCTCCAGTTTTCTAATGTGGACTTTTCAGTGTGAATAAGGCAAGTCAACGTAACAACTGTGTTTTAATGCTAGCCTTTACCCTTACAAATCTGCATGGTTAACATGTTGTTTTAAACAATCTGCATGGTTAACATGTTGTTTTATACAATTGGAATAAAATTTGCCCTTTCCAGAAGGATTCAGATAAAAAAACTGTTCAATTTCGATTTCATCTAACACAGACATATGTGTTATTCTAAAACCTCTGAATATTATTCTTAAAAATTATATTGTTTCCTCACTGCACAATACCATACAGTATCAAATGTTTTAATGCTAGTATAAGACAAGAAATCCACCATATCATTTGAGTAGGCTTATGCTACTATTGAGTAATCTTTATTTCAGATCTTACCTGTAGTTGTTGGAACAGCTACTGTAGTTGGAGGGACTATAGGACAAATTCAAAAGGCAACAGTTTTACAAAAGTTTGCTAAAAACACTGAAAGTCTAGAATGACAGTTAGATAATTGTCAAAGGCGAGTTGATTTCTGTAAAAAGGCAAAATCAGATCCATCACAGTTGATTTTCAATTGATTTTCAAAGATCAATCACATGCTCAAACTTTGAACATACCGGTATATACACACCTACTGCATTGTAAACTGATCAAGAGCAATCATTAAAAAAAAAAAATTAAAAAAAATAGCTCACATCTCTTAATGTAAAGGTCGCAGACAAGTAATTTTTTTTTCAAAATGTACAACCTAGCCAGAGACAAACTTCATTGAAAGCAATTTCACATCTTTTTCCACTATCAAATTATGAGGCACTTCCAGTTTGGTCTGGAAGGAAGGGTCATGTGATTTGACACACAAGATAAAATAAAGATCCTGGATTATTCTATCGATTCCCGCAAAAGTCAATTTCAGGTCTCTCACGGTTGATTTTATATTGATTTTCAAAGATTAAATCTAGAAATCTTTAATTGCTTCATTTGCTTCTTATTATATAAATGATGACGTCACAATGACATTAGTACGTCAAAATGTTTTTTAGATGCGTTTTTTGTAAGTCATTTAAGGGCAATGTGAATATGTTTTTGCCGTACACAACTCAAGTCTCATTTCAAAATTTGACTTCAACATGTAAACAATTATATTTGTATTCACTCTGTAAAGTTGCAGCAGTGTGGCATGGCTGGGTTTATTCTCGCCTATGACTGAGTCCTTCCACTGGTTCCAAAAAATGACTAGGTTATTATCTCCCTCAGCTACTCGTTTTGAGGATCAGACATTCATGTCTGCAGAGCCACGGTTCAACGTCTGATATATCCTAAAGTACCAATTTTATGCTCCCCGAATGTTAACCAATCAGAGTCCGATTTCAAAACTGTGACTTCAGAAATGTGGACTAAGCTGTTGATTGGTCAATTGAATGCTCAGAATCTTACGGATTTTTCGGCATAATTAGCTGCTGATTCTGCTCGCATATAATACAGAGATGAAACTGGCATATGGCAAAAAAATCGGAAAATAGGCCGAACAAAGATATGTGTCCGAAATCTGGGCCGCGCTGCCATTACACACATGTACATGTACATATACAATACACTTCATGCCCAATTTCCGGACACCAACACCTGCTTTATTTTCGATTCAAACAAAATTTTACGATGAAAAAAATAAAGGTCCGTGGTTTCATTGCATAAAATGCCTGAATTACGGTAAGAGTAATGGAGTCATCAATAAAGAAGTTCACTTCTTCCTTGAGAAAGTCAAGGGAAAAGTCCAAAAGACAAGGGCACCGTTCATGGTGCTTCAATCATGTCCATGATTCAACCACACAACTCCACTACTCCACTTGCATTCATACGTGGGAAAAAATCAGGCATTATCGTCTTTCTCTTCCAACAAATGCCAGTGAAATGTTTCGCTAATGCTCTCTTCGCTATCCTCGAGATAATCATCATGATTTTTAAAGCACTGCATTTTGTACAACTAAATCTGAAACCTCTGGAAATCGCACAACATAATGATTTTATCCACTGGATCGTTCACAATTAAGGCTACCCGTTCCCTACCGGCCATGTGCTAGTGGTACGGTGTGGTACGTACGCTGTACCATTGCATATTCGCACGCACATGCTACACAGTGATTTTCCATGTCGCCCGTCAATGTTTAACCTTTTGTCTAGCCGGAGAAGGCTCCAATCAGTGTTATGCCCTGTGTTTCTACCGTTGAAACACTCCAATAACGACTGGTGAAAGAGATTAAAACTACGTTGGCGATGATTTTAACGTGCCATTTCCATCGACTTTTCTTCAAAATTATGATTGAAATAAAATGACTTTTTGTGAAAAAATCATTAGAAAATCAAATTTTCTGGGACATACTGTAAAAAAATCGGAAATTTCGTTGGAAAATTTAAAAAGTCGGATTTCCGATTAAAATCAGAAAAGTTTCATCTCTGATCATAGACAGGCATGCAACTGGGAAGTCACTCAAAAAAGAGGAAATTCAAATCTTTCCAAGACTTTGTCATGTTTTTTTTATTTCTAATGGCACACATGGGAAGTACCCCGAATGTTAACCAATCAGAGTTCGATTTCAAAACTGCGACTACAGAAATGTGGACTAAGCTGTTGATTGGTCAATTGAATGCTCAGAATCTTACAGTATTTTCGGCATAATTAGCTGCTGAATCTGCTCGCATATCATAGACAGGCATGCAACTGGGAAGTCACACAAAAAAGAGGAAATTCAAATCTTTCCAAGACTTTGTAATGTTATTTTATTTCTAATGGCACACATGGGAAGTAAAAAAATGAGGAAATCAGATGATCTGAGGAAAAGTTGCATGCCTGCTTAGAGCCTTGTTGTGTAAGGGGAAATTCCATACACTAAACTGACCCATTGTGCGGGTAAACGTTTCCAAATCTGAGGGCTAACTTGCAGCATTAGTTTGTATTCCCAAATTATAAAAGGTTTGGCGAGACAATTGATTTTGAACCATCCGACGGTAAATGAACCATTGGGGCCTAACAACGAATGCACTAAAGGTCCATTTAGGAAATATCCTTGTGGTTCAAAAGCACGCATCTCAAGGATGTCAGCAATGCAAAGGATGTTTTCTCAGAAACAATTCAAGCAAGCTCTTACCAGGAAGTGCACAGCCGTTAAATACCACAAAGAAGTTGTCATTGGCGTCTGGATTGATGATGTAGACTTCCACCTCCACCATGGATAGCGGGCCATCAGAAAGTAGAATCTTTTGTCCAAAAGTGCCCACAAATACCGATGAACCTTCTGGGTCCAATAGGGGTATCAGGTCAGTCCTCTCATATGGTTTGAATTTAAATGCCACCTCAGTTAGTCCAGAGTTTCCACTATCCTTGTGGATTGTGACAGATGTCACATTAACTCTTGGAGTAAAAGTCACCCTCAAGGAGGACCCTGAGTATGGCATTGATGGGTTAGGAGGGCTGCTTGGCCTCCATGCGTCTTCTGGACCAATAGAGGCACCACTCTCAGTAGTTCTGCTCACAGACACTTCATTGGATCTGTCCAGGTTTTCATCACACACCACCTCAGTTGTTGTTTCAATGGTTGTGCTTGCTGCTAGGAAGAATAAATATGGCAATATCAATAACTTGAAATAAAGGTGAAAATATCAATACATAACTTGTTATTATGAACCATCACTCGGGAACAAGCTGCAGTATAATATCCCCGACTCCAATTGGATTGTGGTTTTCTTTGTGCATTTTGACCATTTGTTGTAGTGGAATAACTGGTTATTCAATGTTTACCACCATTCAGCAATTGTTGTATAGGTTTCCGTATTTCACGATATTTTCTCCAGTTTTCTAATGTGGACTTTTCAGTGTGAATAAGGCAAGTCAACGTAACAACTGTGTTTTAATGCTAGCCTTTACCCTTACAAATCTGCATGGTTAACATGTTGTTTTATACAATTGGAATAAAATTTGCCCTTTCCAGAAGGATTCAGATAAAAAAAACTGTTCAATTTCGATTTCATCTAACACAGACATATGTGTTATTCTAAAACCTCTGAATATTATTCTTAAAAATTATATTGTTTCCTCACTGCACAATACCATACAGTATCAAATGTTTTAATGCTAGTATAAGACAAGAAATCCACCATATCATTTGAGTAGGCTTATGCTACCTATTGAGTAATCTTTATTTCAGATCTTACCTGTAGTTGTTGGAACAGCTACTGTAGTTGGAGGGACTATAGGACAAATTCAAAAGGCAACAGTTTTACAAAAGTTTGCTAAAAACACTGAAAGTCTAGAATGACAGTTAGATAATTGTCAAAGGCGAGTTGATTTCTGTAAAAAGGCAAAATCAGATCCATCACAGTTGATTTTCAATTGATTTTCAAAGATCAATCACATGCTCTCACTTTGAACATACCGGTATATGCACACCTACTGCATTGTAAACTGATCAAGAGCAATCATTAAAAAAAAAAATTAAAAAAAATAGCTCACATTCCTTAATGTAAAGGTCGCAGACAAGTAATTTTTTTTCAAAATGTACAACCTAGCCAGAGACAAACTTCATTGAAAGCAATTTCACATCTTTTTCCACTATCAAATTATGAGGCACTTCCAGTTTGGTCTGGAAGGAAGGGTCATGTGATTTGACACACAAGATAAAATAAAGATCCTGGATTATTCTATCGATTCCCGCAAAAGTCAATTTCAGGTCTCTCACGGTTGATTTTATATTGATTTTCAAAGATTAAATCTAGAAATCTTTAATTGCTTCATTTGCTTCTTATTATATAAATGATGACGTCACAATGACATTAGTACGTCAAAATGTTTTTCAGATGCGTTTTTGTAAGTCATTTAAGGGCAATGTGAATATGTTTTTGCCGTACACAACTCAAGTCTCATTTCAAAATTTGACTTCAACATGTAAACAATTATATTTGTATTCACTCTGTAAAGTTGCAGCAGTGTGGCATGGCTGGGTTTATTCTCGCCTATGACTGAGTCCTTCCACTGGTTCCAAAAAATGACTAGGTTATTATCTCCCTCAGCTACTCGTTTTGAGGATCAGACATTCATGTCTGCAGAGCCACGGTTCAACATCTGATATATCCTAAAGTACCAATTTTATGCTCCCCGAATGTTAACCAATCAGAGTCCGATTTCAAAACTGTGACTTCAGAAATGTGGACTAAGCTGTTGATTGGTCAATTGAATGCTCAGAATCTTACGGATTTTTTGGCATAATTAGCTGCTGAATCTGCTCGCATATAATACAGAGATGAAACTGGCATATGGCAAAAAAATCGGAAAATAGGCCGAACAAAGATATGTGTCCGAAATCTGGGCCGCGCTGCCATTACACACATGTACATGTACATATACAATACACTTCATGCCCAATTTCCGGACACCAACACCTGCTTTATTTTCGATTCAAACAAAATTTTACGATGAAAAAAATAAGGTCCGTGGTTTCATTGCATAAAATGCCTGAATTACGGTAAGAGTAATGGAGTCATCAATAAAGAAGTTCACTTCTTCCTTGAGAAAGTCAAGGGAAAAGTCCAAAAGACAAGGGCACCGTTCATGGTGCTTCAATCATGTCCATGATTCAACCACACAACTCCACTACTCCACTTGCATTCATACGTGGGAAAAAATCAGGCATTATCGTCTTTCTCTTCCAACAAATGCCAGTGAAATGTTTCGCTAATGCTCTCTTCGCTATCCTCGAGATAATCATCATGATTTTTAAAGCACTGCATTTTGTACAACTAAATCTGAAACCTCTGGAAATCGCACAACATAATGATTTTATCCACTGGATCGTTCACAATTAAGGCTACCCGTTCCCTACCGGCCATGTGCTAGTGGTACGGTGTGGTACGTACGCTGTACCATTGCATATTCGCACGCACATGCTACACAGTGATTTTCCATGTCGCCCGTCAATGTTTAACCTTTTGTCCAGCCGGAGAAGGCTCCAATCAGTGTTATGCCCTGTGTTTCTACCGTTGAAACACTCCAATAACGACTGGTGAAAGAGATTAAACTACGTTGGCGATGATTTTAACGTGCCATTTCCATCGACTTTTCTTCAAAATTATGATTGAAATAAAATGACTTTTTGTGAAAAAATCGTTAGAAAATCAAATTTTCTGGGACATACTGTAAAAAAATCGGAAATTTCGTTGGAAAATTTAAAAAGTCGGATTTCCGATTAAAATCAGAAAAGTTTCATCTCTGATCATAGACAGGCATGCAACTGGGAAGTCACTCAAAAAAGAGGAAATTCAAATCTTTCCAAGACTTTGTCATGTTTTTTTTATTTCTAATGGCACACATGGGAAGTACCCCGAATGTTAACCAATCAGAGTTCGATTTCAAAACTGCGACTACAGAAATGTGGACTAAGCTGTTGATTGGTCAATTGAATGCTCAGAATCTTACAGTATTTTCGGCATAATTAGCTGCTGAATCTGCTCGCATATCATAGACAGGCATGCAACTGGGAAGTCACACAAAAAAGAGGAAATTCAAATCTTTCCAAGACTTTGTAATGTTATTTTATTTCTAATGGCACACATGGGAAGTAAAAAAATGAGGAAATCAGATGATCTGAGGAAAAGTTGCATGCCTGCTTAGAGCCTTGTTGTGTAAGGGGAAATTCCATACACTAAACTGACCCATTGTGCGGGTAAACGTTTCCAAATCTGAGGGCTAACTTGCAGCATTAGTTTGTATTCCCAAATTATAAAAGGTTTGGCGAGACAATTGATTTTGAACCATCCGACGGTAAATGAACCATTGGGGCCTAACAACGAATGCACTAAAGGTCCATTTAGGAAATATCCTTGTGGTTCAAAAGCACGCATCTCAAGGATGTCAGCAATGCAAAGGATGTTTTCTCAGAAACAATTCAAGCAAGCTCTTACCAGGAAGTGCACAGCCGTTAAATACCACAAAGAAGTTGTCATTGGCGTCTGGATTGATGATGTAGACTTCCACCTCCACCATGGATAGCGGGCCATCAGAAAGTAGAATCTTTTGTCCAAAAGTGCCCACAAATACCGATGAACCTTCTGGGTCCAATAGGGGTATCAGGTCAGTCCTCTCATATGGTTTGAATTTAAATGCCACCTCAGTTAGTCCAGAGTTTCCACTATCCTTGTGGATTGTGACAGATGTCACATTAACTCTTGGAGTAAAAGTCACCCTCAAGGAGGACCCTGAGTATGGCATTGACGGGTTAGGAGGGCTGCTTGGCCTCCATGCGTCTTCTGGACCAATAGAGGCACCACTCTCAGTAGTTCTGCTCACAGACACTTCATTGGATCTGTCCAGGTTTTCATCACACACCACCTCAGTTGTTGTTTCAATGGTTGTGCTTGCTGCTAGGAAGAATAAATATGGCAATATCAATAACTTGAAATAAAGGTGAAAATATCAATACATAACTTGTTATTATGAACCATCACTCGGGAACAAGCTGCAGTATAATATCCCCGACTCCAATTGGATTGTGGTTTTCTTTGTGCATTTTGACCATTTGTTGTAGTGGAATAACTGGTTATTCAATGTTTACCACCATTCAGCAATTGTTGTATAGGTTTCCGTATTTCACGATATTTTCTCCAGTTTTCTAATGTGGACTTTTCAGTGTGAATAAGGCAAGTCAACGTAACAACTGTGTTTTAATGCTAGCCTTTACCCTTACAAATCTGCATGGTTAACATGTTGTTTTAAACAATCTGCATGGTTAACATGTTGTTTTATACAATTGGAATAAAATTTGCCCTTTCCAGAAGGATTCAGATAAAAAAAACTGTTCAATTTCGATTTCATCTAACACAGACATATGTGTTATTCTAAAACCTCTGAATATTATTCTTAAAAATTATATTGTTTCCTCACTGCACAATACCATACAGTATCAAATGTTTTAATGTTAGTATAAGACAAGAAGTCCACCATATCATTTGAGTAGGCTTATGCTACCTATTGAGTAATCTTTATTTCAGATCTTACCTGTAGTTGTTGGAACAGCTACTGTAGTTGGAGGGACTATAGGACAAATTCAAAAGGCAACAGTTTTACAAAAGTTTGCTAAAAACACTGAAAGTCTAGAATGACAGTTAGATAATTGTCAAAGGCGAGTTGATTTCTGTAAAAAGGCAAAATCAGATCCATCACAGTTGATTTTCAATTGATTTTCAAAGATCAATCACATGCTCTCACTTTGAACATACCGGTATATGCACACCTACTGCATTGTAAACTGATCAAGAGCAATCATTAAAAAAAAAAAATTAAAAAAAATAGCTCACATTCCTTAATGTAAAGGTCGCAGACAAGTAATTTTTTTTCAAAATGTACAACCTAGCCAGAGACAAACTTCATTGAAAGCAATTTCACATCTTTTTCCACTATCAAATTATGAGGCACTTCCAGTTTGGTCTGGAAGGAAGGGTCATGTGATTTGACACACAAGATAAAATAAAGATCCTGGATTATTCTATCGATTCCCGCAAAAGTCAATTTCAGGTCTCTCACAGTTGATTTTATATTGATTTTCAAAGATTAAATCTAGAAATCTTTAATTGCTTCATTTGCTTCTTATTATATAAATGATGACGTCACAATGACATTAGTACGTCAAAATGTTTTTCAGATGCGTTTTTGTAAGTCATTTAAGGGCAATGTGAATATGTTTTTGCCGTACACAACTCAAGTCTCATTTCAAAATTTGACTTCAACATGTAAACAATTATATTTGTATTCACTCTGTAAAGTTGCAGCAGTGTGGCATGGCTGGGTTTATTCTCGCCTATGACTGAGTCCTTCCACTGGTTCCAAAAAAAGACTAGGTTATTATCTCCCTCAGCTACTTGTTTTGAGGATCAGACATTCATGTCTGCAGAGCCACGGTTCAACGTCTGATATATCCTAAAGTACCAATTTTATGCTCCCCCGAATGTTAACCAATCAGAGTCCGATTTCAAAACTGTGACTTCAGAAATGTGGACTAAGCTGTTGATTGGTCAATTGAATGCTCAGAATCTTACGGATTTTTCGGCATAATTAGCTGCTGAATCTGCTCGCATATAATACAGAGATGAAACTGGCATATGGCAAAAAAATCGGAAAATAGGCCGAACAAAGATATGTGTCCGAAATCTGGGCCGCGCTGCCATTACACACATGTACATGTACATATACAATACACTTCATGCCCAATTTCCGGACACCAACACCTGCTTTATATTCGATTCAAACAAAATTTTACGATGAAAAAAAAAGGTCAGTGGTTTCATTGCATAAAATGCCTGAATTACGGTAAGAGTAATGGAGTCATCAATAAAGAAGTTCACTTCTTCCTTGAGAAAGTCAAGGGAAAAGTCCAAAAGACAAGGGCACCGTTCATGGTGCTTCAATCATGTCCATGATTCAACCACACAACTCCACTACTCCACTTGCATTCATACGTGGGAAAAAATCAGGCATTATCGTCTTTCTCTTCCAACAAATGCCAGTGAAATGTTTCGCTAATGCTCTCTTCGCTATCCTCGAGATAATCATCATGATTTTTAAAGCACTGCAGTTTGTACAACTAAATCTGAAACCTCTGGAAATCGCACAACATAATGATTTTATCCACTGGATCGTTCACAATTAAGGCTACCCGTTCCCTACCGGCCATGTGCTAGTGGTACGGTGTGGTACGTACGCTGTACCATTGCATATTCGCACGCACATGCTACACAGTGATTTTCCATGTCGCCCGTCAATGTTTAACCTTTTGTCCAGCCGGAGAAGGCTCCAATCAGTGTTATGCCCTGTGTTTCTACCGTTGAAACACTCCAATAACGACTGGTGAAAGAGATTAAACTACGTTGGCGATGATTTTAACGTGCCATTTCCTTCGACTTTTCTTCAAAATTATGATTGAAATAAAATGACTTTTTGTGAAAAAATCGTTAGAAAATCAAATTTTCTGGGACATACTGTAAAAAAATCGGAAATTTCGTTGGAAAATTTAAAAAGTCGGATTTCCGATTAAAATCGGAAAAGTTTCATCTCTGGTCATAGACAGGCATCCAACTGGGAAGTCACTCAAAAAAGAGGAAATTCAAATCTTTCCAAGACTTTGTCATGTTTTTTTATTTCTAATGGCACACATGGGAAGTAAAAAAAAGAGGAAATCAGCTGATCTGAGGAAAATTGCATGCCTGCTTAAATCCTTGTTGTGTAAGGGGCAATTCCATACACTAAACTGACCCATTGTGCGGGTAAACGTTTCCAAATCTGAGGGCTAACTTGCAGCATTAGTTTGTATTCCCAAATTCAAAAGGTTTGGCGAGACAATTGATTTTGAACCATCCGACGGTAAAACAACCATTGGGGCCTAACAACGAATGCACTAAAGGTCCATTTAGGAAATATCCTTGTGGTTCAAAAGCACGCATCTCAAGGATGTCAGCAATGCAAAGGATGTTTTCTCAGAAACAATTCAAGCAAGCTCTTACCAGGAAGTGCACAGCCGTTAAATACCACAAAGAAGTTGTCATTGGCGTCTGGATTGATGATGTAGACTTCCACCTCCACCATGGATAGCGGGCCATCAGAAAGTAGAATCTTTTGTCCAAAAGTGCCCACAAATACCGATGAACCTTCTGGGTCCAATAGGGGTATCAGGTCAGTCCTCTCATATGGTTTGAATTTAAATGCCACCTCAGTTAGTCCAGAGTTTCCACTATCCTTGTGGATTGTGACAGATGTCACATTAACTCTTGGAGTAAAAGTCACCCTCAAGGAGGACCCTGAGTATGGCATTGATGGGTTAGGAGGGCTGCTTGGCCTCCATGCGTCTTCTGGACCAATAGAGGCACCACTCTCAGTAGTTCTGCTCACAGACACTTCATTGGATCTGTCCAGGTTTTCATCACACACCACCTCAGTTGTTGTTTCAATGGTTGTGCTTGCTGCTAGGAAGAATAAATATGGCAATATCAATAACTTGAAATAAAGGTGAAAATATCAATACATAACTTGTTATTATGAACCATCACTCGGGAACAAGCTGCAGTATAATATCCCCGACTCCAATTGGATTGTGGTTTTCTTTGTGCATTTTGACCATTTGTTGTAGTGGAATAACTGGTTATTCAATGTTTACCACCATTCAGCAATTGTTGTATAGGCTTCCGTATTTCATGATATTTTTCTCCAGTTTTATAATGTGGACTTTTCAGTGTGAATAAGGCAAGTCAACGTAACAACTGTGTTTTAATGCTAGCCTTTACCCTTACAAATCTGCATGGTTAACGTGTTGTTTTATTCAATTCTATTCACAGACATATGTGTTATTCTAAAACCTCTGAATATTATTCATGAAAATTATACTTTTTTCCTCACTGCACAATACCATACAGTATCAAATGTATTAATGTTAGTATAAGACAAGAAGTCCACCATATCATTTGAGTAGGCTTATGCTACCTATTGAGTAATCTTTATTTCAATTCTTACCTCTTGTTGTAACAGCTACTGTTGTTGGAGGAACTACAGGAAAAATTCAACAATAATATTACAAAAGTTAGTGATCACTTTAAACTAAATATCTGTTTTAAAATTAGAATCTACCAAGTGGTTGGTTTGAGTTTTGTTGCAGATCAGAATGAAAACTTTAGAATACAAATGACTATTTACAGCAAATGTTTTCAAGATGTTGAAATCCTTTAATAGCAAGACTAGGCGCGCATAGTAAGCTGGCCACAGAGCAAGAGCAACAAATTCTATGCAATTGATTCAGAAATCCTATAAAGCTTGTTAGAATACAAGGGTGAGGTGGGGGAAATAAACAAATCCATGAAATAATAAAATGGTTGGAAGTTTACCAAGGGCTAGAGCATCATAGGATCTACAAATTGTATGTGCTTATACATTTCATTCATTCTACATGTTTCATAGGTAGAAATACCTTTAAAGTAAAACCTAAGAGTTTTCAGATTTTGAAATTGATTTCATAGAAAAGAAACCAAATCAGAAAAAAATCCTGACAAATTACGTTCCAGAGAATGAGATGCAGTGGTAATGTGATGAAAATAAAAAAAAGCCTATTTTACTATCTGCATAGGGACTTGACTTACTTCCAAATACATGCATCACCAAAGTACATGAAACAAACAGCGCCAGCACTTATACTAACAATTTTCATCATATTTCAAATGGATTTTCCCCCTTAGTTTGAACCTAATTTTAAACCCACTGTTAAATAATCTCTCTGATCCTCCATTAGCTGACAAGACTTGAACTCAAAGTGAAGCATAAGTTTACATTAATAGACATTGTTTCTTCAATTCATTCAAAAAGAACTATCCTGTATTCTTGTTAAACATACTCACCCGGTGGTTTGCATTCGCAGCACTTTGTGGTGTCATTTTCATTTAAATACAAGTCTTCGCCCTGTTTTGAAAATTAATGCACAAAGTAATGAATGATTATCTTGCGTTGAAGCCAAATATGGACGTCACTGTTCACTGAACTTTCAAATATGTATTTCATTGTTGCGTATTTCACAGACAATGTGTTCTCCAATGAATATTACTGAACTTGATGGGTAACATGTGAATTGTTGATAAAAATGGTGATTGGAACTGTATCATTTGATGACTGAGAAGTAGTCACTGATATCCTACATTAAAAAAAAATCAGCTAATTCTGTAAAAAAACATCATTACAATTATAACAGGTTAAAAAGAAAAACAAATGCGGTACATGCATATAAAGATATGACTGATAAATAAGGTCACATTAGAAAATTCATACTTAATTTTCCCTGGGTTAATAACCTTTTGCGGTGCTGGGGCTGTGCCAATCAACCCTTTGTTTTTATACATCATTTCTTTCTTCATTTTATATGTTTTTTTGGCACTCTGTTTTATGCAGCACAAAGCGTGAACTTGAAACTTTGAACCCATGTCAAGCGCAATTCTAAGGTGCACATCCTACTGTGACGTCATGATGACATCTGAATACCAAATAGCAAGCGATGTTAGTTCAATGTGATTAATGTCAAGTGAATGTAACTAGATCATGTAGAAGAAATAATGACTAGAACAAGCCAAGAATGGTATGGTATAGACCCACATAGTGCAAAACATGAGGTACACTATAAATTAATCACAAACTTCACATAAAAATAGCCATTTTGAATAACCAAACCCTGAACCGAATACATCATTAAATGTATTCAATGAGTAGATGCAAGGTAACTATATCAACCATGACAGACTACCCGATAAGTCAAACATGGATAGTCAACACACTCCTGCATGCACGCACCAAGCCTTACATTCATTTAGTTGTGAAGAGGTTTGTTTCCCTTCTTTTGTTCCCCGTTTGTTTCTATTGAAATTTCAAACTGCAAAGGATTTTCCTGATGGGATAGATGGATTTCTACAGACTGACCAATGGAGTACCATGTGTATGTACACACTGATTGACGAGGTGGAAACAGTGTGCAAAATGATCATCATTTTTCATAAGAAAAATGTGGTGCCTGCAACCACACATTGGTGCCTTGATCTCTAACAGTTTTCCACTGGATGTCAGTCTCCAGAGAAGGTTTCGCAATTGTAGCAATGCAATTTTAATATCTGGAACCTTGTTTTAATGCTTTTAACTCAGCCCTAATTGGGAGGGTTTTTTTTTTTCTTTAAACGATCCATATATGACACCCCCCCCCCCCCCCCCCCCCCCCCCGTCTTAATGGCAGCCATTTTAAAAACAACATTTAGGGTTGTTCTAATTCTTTTCTACTGATTTTTTGCCCAAAATGTATGAAAAACAAACTGGTGGGAGACTTTTGAATGCATTACTACAAAATCCAATCACGTTTCACAAGAAAACAACTCTGAAAGCAATGGTATGCATTGATGGTCATCATACTAACCAACCAAAAATTACACAAACATTGCAGGTTTGGTGCAAAATTTATGAAAGTGAGGAACTTACTTGATATTTCATTTTCAAGCAATCCATGCAATCACAGTATTCCATGAGATGGAAAATGTATTTTTTTACAGAAATATATATGTCCTCCACTGAGTTAATGCTAAATATTTCCTTGCAGAAATTATGACAAAAAGTTTAGAATATTATTCAAGTCGTGTAATGATCATTATGGCTTTTATGCCATCGAAAAATACTGGAAAAACATTATGTACACATCAGTGTACAATGTACATGTGAATATATAGAAATACAAGTACATGTCATTCAAAAGATCTGCATTGCTGTCTCGCTATTTCCTTTCTTGTCACTTTTGCAAAAGTGACTTTTGGGCAACAAAATTTTGTTGCCCAAATCGAGAAGATTTAAACATCTTTGTCAACCTAAAGTTCCTCTTGAATTGTTCTTGTTATCTGCAATTTTTGGTAGGAGTTTCCCCAGGCAGATTTCAGCAGGAATTAGGGCACGCGTGGCAACAACAGATGTCTGGCCTCTTTCTCACTTCACCTATGAAAACGTAATGCTGCCATACATAAACAAATGACACCATTGGTAGCCAGTCTATAAAGCTTTAAAAAATGGTTATCAAACATGAGTCAAAAGAGGGCAGGAAACACAAAGTACAATATTCTGAAAATTGTGACCATTGGTGATCAATTTTACATAGGGCTGAGTTGAAAGGGTTAACCTGAGAAATGTGTCGATAAAGCTGAACTGAAACAACGTATAAAAAAGGTGTCCCACCCCATCACCCTGCATAGACCCCAAACAAACACCAAACCTCTAGTTTCAAAAACAAGTATATATATGCATTATGAACATATTTTGGGCTTAACTTTTATTGCTGTTGTTAAACTGGCTGTTACTTCACAATTGGCTAGGATGTGCTGGGGGTGGAAGGGAGAATTAAGAAGCTCCATCCTCACTGAACTATCCCATTTACAGCACTGCTTCTCAATATTACCTCTCGCAACCAAATCCTACTGTCTGGCTTCTCGTGCCAACCCTGTTTCTACTGAATGACAGAGGGTGTTAGCGTGTTCCTTGCACTTTAATCAGATTGCCCAAGTTAGGTGAAGCTCATTAGACTTGGTTGTCAGTCCACCTGAGAGGACAATTATGATCACAAACCTGGGTAGATACGACTCGTTAGCTTAGGTCAACAGCCCGTTTTTCCAAGCTTTGGCAAATAGCCAGGGAGTAAATCTGTCACAGAATCTGGAGTGGAGCCCCACAGGCAGTCAGCTGGCTATGTCAACTGTCAACCTTCCAGCAGCTCCTGCATTCCTGTTTATCTCTTACTTGTCTCAACTCTGTCCTTCCACTGGATTCAGATGAGCAAGGATGAGAGAGTGAGGCTGATGGTGTGCGACTCTTCCTCAATTAAATTAATTTCTGCAGCGAAAGTCGCAACTTCATGCAAAACCCTTTGGCGATGGGAGAGTGATGAACCAGCAAGTGTGGATTTCTGCAGTCACAACCTGCACACAAGTGGCTCAGGCCATATAATCGTCTTTCGCTGGATAAAGGCAGCGGTGGAGCCCTGCATCCCCCTGAGCGACCAAGCAGCCCTTTTCAGGATCGCTCTGCCTGTTTCCATAGCAAGAGGACGAGGCTAGAAAAGGCGCCTTAAAAATAGCCTGCCTCAACATCACCAGACCAGCTTAACGCTGCTAGAGGGGATCCCCATATGCGGTCGAAATAGAAAGAAAGAGAAACATAAGGTGACAACACTCACCCTAGGCACGTGGAACGTGCAAACCTTAGCGATAAACGTTAAGGCTGACAGACCTGAGCGATGGACAGCCCTTGTGGCTAGGGAACTTGCACTCTATAATGTTGATGTCACTGTCCTGAGTGAAATGCACAACCTGGCGTGGGAAAGCTCTCCGAAGGGGAGGCTACACCTTTTTTTTCTGGAGTGGACGCAGCAGTAGGGAACACAAAGAGGCAGGAGTAGGCTTTGCAGTCAAATCCCACACTGTCTGCAGGCTCACCAGCTTGCCGAAGGGGCTGAACGATCATCTCATGATGCTTCAACTTCTTTCGGGCCATAACAAGTGTTTAACAATAATTATCAGCGCCTACATACCCACCAGGACTAACTCTGAGGAGGTGAAGGACAAGTTCTGTGAAGAGCTCGAAGCCCTCATCACAGCAGTCCCAAAGTTGAGAAACTCATCCTTCTTGGCGATTTTAACGCAAGAGTTGGTGCAGACCACCAGACCTGGAATGGAGTCAATGTTTTTCACAGAGTGGGGTAATGCAATAGCAATTGACGGCCTCCTCCTCCTGAAGTTGTGTTCCATGCATGACTTCCTCATCACCAACACCTTCAACCAGAAACATGACACACCATCCAAAAGGGGACTCAGAAAGTCTTCAGTCAGCTGACCAGTGGAAAGGCGCCCGATGTTGATGCAATATCTGCTGAGGTGTACAGTCAGTGCAGGTTCCGTGCTGGAAGAGGAATGGTGGACATGATCTTTGCAGCAAGACATCTCCAGGAGAAGTGCCAGGAACAGAACAGAGATCTCTATACCACCTTTATAGATCTTACAAAGGCCTTTGACACCGTCAATAGAAAAGGTCTCGGGAAGATAAAATGGCCAAGTTCAGCTGTTCAGGCCAGTTCATCACCATGGTGCGTTAGTTTCATAACAACTTGATGGCTCATGTGCAGAACGAGAGAGAATCATCAGAAGCCTTCCCAGTGAAGAATGATCTAAACCAGATCTGTGCATTGGCTCCAACGCTCTTTAGCATGATGTTTTCAACCATGCTCTCCAATGCCTTCAGAGAAAGTGAGGATTAAGTCACATGGGACACAGGTCAGACAAGAAGCTGGAGTTGCACTTGAATAGATGGCTAAATTAATTAATGCCAGATGTGTAAAGTGTTACTGGCATTGTTTATTGCAATAAGATTACTTTGATTTTATACAGTGATGAAACTGGCTTATAGGAAAACAATCAATAAATAGGCTGGAAGTCCAAACAAAAATCTGGGTCCAAAATCTAGGCTACACCGCAGTTACACACGTAATGTGGGATGTAAAATAAACTCTGTGCAAAATTTCTGGAAACTACCTCCTTGTTTATTTTAGCTCCAAACAAAATTTTACGATGTGAAAAATGTTCAATGTTGCCATAAAATTCAAATTGTGATTTAAAAACCATTGTATTTTGTACAACTAAATCTAAAATCTCCGAAAATAACACACCATTTTACTGCAGCCGAACTCGAACTTCACGTGCAAACGTCTTAACATGCTGTAAGCTCCAAACATAGTTTCAGACATGTCTCGCAGCACAGATATTGGAGCACCATTTTCATCAAATTCATTGAAGTTTAATTTTAAAATTTCAGATTTTGCGGGGAAAAGATGGTCAGAAAAATCTGAATTTTGGAAAAAGATTTTTTTTTTAAAGTAAGAATTCTGATTAAAATTGGAAACGTTCCATCTCTAAATTTCTAACAAAATAATTAAACCATCGCTTGCAAGATACAGTTGACTTCATAATATCTGCACCATGCATGCAGCTCACTTCAAATGATTCAGCTGTAGTGGCAGCCATGACACAACAGTGAAGAAACTACAGACCCTGATATGATGCATGTGAGAGGCAACACCACATCTTATGGGACTGCATTGGTTGCTATACACCGTGCTTCAAATGAAATTTCAATGTAATTTTCCATGGCTTTTCAAACAACTCCAGAGCCTGATTGCCTGATTGTGATATTAATTTTTTTTTCTCTCATTTATTACATTTTTTGTTAGTTGGGATATCAGATGGGCACAGGGTTGGCGATAATAAAAAAGGTGTTTTTTTTCCTGGGTTGGGAGTCCAAAATAAGGTTCGTTGGTATCAACATTGTCCAAGCAACAGATCATTCAACGCTTCAGTAATTTAGCAGTATCCCGTGTCTGTATAGTCTGTTGTCCTATATGTAATTGCATATAGATGATCAATAATGCACGTTGGCTCATAGATATTCATGTTGCCATGGAGGTCTTGGCATGAGGATTGTGCTATTAACTTGAATATATATTGCCGGCTTAGTTTAGGATAATTCATTGTTCTTTTTATTAACCCTAACTCCCTAGGGGGTGTGCAAAATTGGAGGATTCAGAACTGTTAGGGCTATTAACTTGTTATAGGTTATCTTATTAAGATTACTTAGGTTAGGATTAAATTAATGTTCGATAAATTATCTAATTCCTATAAGGTATCATCTCATTATGTTTTCCTACATAAGAATTAATTTATTGTTCCAGCAATTAATCAGTTATTCATAAATACCTCAGACAGTTTAGCTATTCCTATTGGTCGAGAGCCCGTCACGTGGCCGGTATTAAACGGATGATACAGACATGGCTAGCTGGTCTTAAACACTTTTCCAGTGTCACAATAAAATGTGGACTCCTAAAAATCCAGTGCCTCTTACCGTTTCATTGGTTGAACGTTCACAATCCTCACGTAGGCATGCGCAACACTACAAGCGAGTCAGAATTTTTTAGTTCTAAATTCAAAACGCAACGCCCCAGGTGCGTTCTGCGTGACATCGCGCAGAACATGTTACGCGCGCGTCAATCTCCATAAAAGGGTTGTTTACATCTTACTCGCCAGCTGAACACTCCATTATTTTGCTAGAGGGATGTTTCAAAAAGCATGAAGTGAACTTGTTGAACAAAATCGGGATTTTTTGAACGAATTATTTGATATTTTTTTACGGATAAGGTATTTATGAATGGGAATAAATATGTGCTCGGTCGGTATTTATCACTCTGTTTAATACCGCTTAGAGTCTGGGTGCTGATAATTACCCTCGCCTCCGGCTCGGGTAATTATCAGCACCCAGACTCTAAGCGGTATTAAACGAGTGATAAAAATCTCCGGAGCACACATTTATTCCCTTATTATATTATTGTGGAAGTTGCTTAGTGTAGGATTCATTGCGAGAGCATTTCAGATATTGGGCTAATTGATTAACTTAATTCCTAAAGCAGGCAGTTTAATGACTAAACCCACATAATAATTTAGTGTTACTCGTTCTGTACATATTATTCTGTAAATGTCAAACAATACCTGTAAATAACTAAGAAGAAGCTGTACATATTAGATAATTTGTAGATATACCTCAGACAATTCTGGACAATTAATTTTGAAGTATTTACAAAGTTGTCGGGTGGGAAATCAATCCCTAAATTTATTCGGCCTTGTCTGGGGCAGTTGTGAGGGTCGCAAATGAAAACCAAAGAATAAAAAAGGATGCCCTAATACAATTACTGTGGATGGTCGTGAAACCCTTTGAAACAATATCTGTACTCACTGTTGCGCAAGTGATGGCACATATTTTCTCACAATTTGGTGTGGATGAACCAATGTCACATTTGCAGACCTCACATGAACCATTTCCTGGAAACTGCTGGTTCACCTAACACAGAAAGAAAGACATGGTATGTTAGCTGTGCTACGTTAGCTATCATGGATGGCAGTTCCATGTGGCGCAGTAAGCCTACAGCCAAGCTACCTGTCACAATCAGGTGCTCTGAGGTGTTACAGTGAGTATCATTTCTAAAAGTTGAATACAGAAGCAGTGAAAAGAAATAGCCAAGAATATGTTGTTGCCCTTTTTTTATCTAACAGAACATAATGGTCCTTCAACTTTTGTTAACATGTTTTTAAAAAATGGTGTGTGCTGAATGCCTGAGGTTTAACTTCTTAGAAACAGGTTCAACAACTTACGGTATAGTTTTTGCCGCCATAGAAACACTCACAGCTTTCTTCATCTGAAAAATCGTCGCAATTGTTGATGCCATCGCACACATCATCGATAGATATGCACCTGGAGCAGTCGTAGCATGTGAACTCACCAGGAAGGCAAGAGCATGGCGTTGTGGAACGCAATGGCGTTGTGAAACGCAATGGCGTTGTGGAACGCAATGGCGTTGTGGAACGCAATGGTGTTGTGGAATGCAATGGGGTTGTTGGAACCAGTCTAGTTGTGGAACCCAAAGGTGTCGTTGAGACCAAGGGAGTTGTTGACACAAACAAAGTTGTTGATGAAGGAGTGACTGCAAGAAAGAGCAGACAGTGAGTCAATTCATGTTCAGGACATACCACAAATAAATTCAAACTTCCTACACATACTACAGACACTTCTAAATTTACAAGTCTTCCAGGCATGAAACAACAAGCAAAAAACTACACTGTTTTTAGACTAAGTGTGGCAAAACGACTGTATTTAAGCACTGAGTAACATAACTTACAAAATTTACAGACTGCTGTTATTAATTAAGGGAATAACAGTGTGGGGAGCCGGTCTTCACTGCGGTCACCCCCACACCCGGTCATTATCACGCAGTGAAGACCGGATCCTCACACTGTTATTCCCATTAATAAATACCTTTATAACGAAATAAACAGTTAAAATGCTCCAATTTTGTGACTTTTTCCGGCGATATTTCCAGACTTTTTTGTGTTCATATTCATGGGCCATATTTTAGCTTAACAGAATAACGACGTACACTCAACAGAAACTGCTGCCGTATCGAAACAAATTACAACAATGTTTTCGTATCTTTACCTGATGGAGGAAGCTGAAATCTCGTTTACACATTCCTTGTGTCCGGAATTACAAAAGGTAAATATGTCGGTGGGTGAAGTGTTTCAAAGAAAATAAATCGTAGATCTACGCTTTCGTCGTAAACATCCTCAGTATATACTGCACTGGTGTACGACAAACAATGTACGTTGTCGTTTCAAAATTTCCTTACGCGCGCACAAGTGGGTACGCACGCATCCCTAGCAACTGTGTTGCGTACGCGCGCGTCAGTCTCACGCGATGGGGGTTGAGCGCATGTGCAGTGCTCAATTGTTAAAAGCTACCGCAGGCCTGTTACTATATTTTGACCAATCATTGGCTTGCATGGGGCTGAACAGGGTTTGATCAATGCTGGTTCAGGGGCCATTTATTCGCTTGATCTTTGAAGCCGGTCCATTATCACCGTTAATGACCGGCCACGTGATCGAGTCTCGACCAATCAGAAACCATCAACTCTCGAAGGTATTTATTAAATTCAATTAGTGAATATGAAGTTTTACTGTTCAGTTATATCACACCTGAAATCTATTCTATATGTTGGAAGATCCAACTCAGGATACTTACATGGTGTTGTACAAGTAGACCCGCTGCATGTCATGTTGCCCTCAATGCATTCACTGAGAATAAACCACCCCAAAACAAAAAATGAAAAGGTGCTTATCGTATATTCATATTGTTTTAATATTTCCACTATCACAGCAGTGAAAGTCACACTCATACTTTGTAACTATAACCTGAGATTGTCATTGAGTCACCACTGATCTTTACACCTTAGTCAAAACCTTGATGCATGAGGCAAAAACAAAAAATACATCCATTTCCAATTACATGCCGTTTCAAAAATAGGGTCAGTAAGGTTGGAATTATTTTGTGTGCTGATTCAATGTAATCAAGGTGTAAAGCCTTCATGTAGTCACCACCCATGCATATTTTCAGCTCCATGTATTTCCATTTGCTCTTGGAAAGCTATCAATACTGGTCCCCAAAAATGATAAAAACTTGTCTTAATAAAAGGAAATGATATTCAATTAATAGAGAATTGAAGTCTTGCACACCACTACGCATGCACTGGTGGTGGGAAATTTGGAAAATGTACTATATCACGCCAAGTACGAGTAATTCCAGGAGAAAGTGCAACAATTATGGATTTTGGGTAGTCATTTTGCCACCTTGTTTTTACATGCAAAATTCTAATGATAGCTGTGAGTTTTAACTCAGGGAGCCGAGTTGGTATGTTTCATTGGCCCAATGAATATAGGGTAACAATGATGTAGTGCCTTGAGCATTGCACCAATACTGCTGGATATGTGCGCTTTAATACAAATATGCATTATTATTATTACAAATTCATTGCACTTACCAGGTTCTAAAATAACCATGCAGAATCAAAAGCTCACAGGTGCATGTGTGACCCATGACTTTGAGAAAAATAGTGTCATTTTTGGGGAAAAAAATCTTTGCAAAAATGCCACTGAAAATAGAAGAGAGGGGGATATTCTGTATTTAGTCTATCACTATTGTTTGGGCACAAAAGTGATTATCTGTTGGCATTTTTATTGGTGCCCCAGAAGAGAACGAGCCCCATAATGCTGGTTTTGAGTGAACATTTGACTACTTAAACTAAATTCAACTTGTTAACTCAATTCCTTGTGGCCCGTGATGTGCCTCATGGGCTGATCCAGTAAACAGAATTACTAACATGTTAATCTTGAATCTACATGTATAGCCTATGATTTTCCACAAGGCTATACCCCCACTACATGTGCCTGCTGTGGGGAATGTGCACTACAATTTTATAATTATTTGATTAACCGTCAAAATGGGGCAGGTGTTTTTAATTAAGTGCTGAAGTTATAGCACCTTACTTGTTAATTGGTTTCATCGCTTGATTTAATAGGCTTTCACAACGGCCGTTGTTGGTGGGTAGTGGTTACTGGGTATCACTATCGTCATTGTGGTCTTGGGTATCACAATCAGTTTTCTTGTGAGCATCAAACTACGCAAGGGGGTCATGGGTACCTCCTAATTTTTAATGTTAATGTGCTTTATGTATCCGGTTTGCCCTTAATCTTTGGTATTCCGGTTGAATAAGGTTTATTAAAAAATTGAATCTGTTGCGAGAGACACAACAAACTTATCTCCTGCGTGATTCCTTTTTGTAGTACGAGTATAAGAATCATTCAAATAACTCATGTACATTTCAAGTTAGGGAATTTGAAACACAACCACCCGGCGTTTTAAAGTTCTGTCCACGGATCACAAAAACGGTGTGCGTTCTTTCAGCAAGACGAAAACAATTCACACACATCCCTATGTGATTTGTTGTCGTTTTGCTGAAAGAACACTAACCTTTTTAAGATCCGTTTTTGTGATCTTTGTTTGTGTTCTGATTTGTTGGCTTCTTCTTGTTCTTCCATTCCAAATCTCATGGACTTTGTACATGTTTCACTTATATACATAACTTTTTGCAAAATGTTTGACATTATTATGACATCATCAAAATGTGAATTTTTGAAACACATATGAGGGAATGTGCGAACGTTATGAAACTTGGTGGGTAGGCAGATATTGATAATAGTGTTCAAAATATGATGACGTCATCAATTGATTTTTTTCTAATTGCAAAATTTGACATGAAATGAAATCAGATCGACTTCAAACTAGGCTCAGACCAAGACCCTAAGGTAACATTGTTCCTTAACAGTGATCTAGCCAGGGTGAAATTATAGCGGTTAAGGAAAATCAAATTGCCATGAAAATCGGTGGGTACATTGACTATGTTACTTGTATGCAAAATCCGAAGTGAAGATCACGCATTTGATTTTGTATGAGACTTTTTATATAATTTTTCTACTTGCAAAATTTGAAATTGCATGTAAATGCAATCAGATCGACTTTCAACTTGACACAACTTGTGCCAATATGTTATTTATAATTTGAAAAAAAGCCTGAAATTGTGATACTAAAGGGCTCCCTGAAAGTCTAATTTCAAGAGAACTACAAGTTTGCACAAATTACAGCAAGCCATACTCATTAAATTAAAAACCAACAAAGTGGAAAAGCACTATGTTCTTTCTTGAACAGACTTAGACCTCTAGGTTTCAATTGCTGATCTTAAAAAGCTTGTAGTGCCCTTTCAACTTTTGCCCTATGCAAATTAGTGTGCTCCATCAGTCATCCTCTTGACATATGTGAGGTGAACACCAAACTATTGTCATCGAAATTTTCACATTTTTGTTCTCCATTTCAAACCTGCCGGAAGTATCAGCACTTGTACAGTAGTGTTCCTTTTTAACTGTTCATTATACCAGACCATGCAGTGTTGGTTCTTGAATGATCTCACCTGAGTTGAGGGAGTCTTTTGTACCCAGTATCGCGAGTCAACTCACCTCAAACTCTGTACACGTTCTCCCCCACTTGGATACCACAATGCACGCGCCAGTTCCCACTGGGGGCGGCCAGAGGATGAACTCTAGGGTGGGTTATTGACTTATATTGTTGTTGATTTATTTGTAGCAAACCTCTACAAGATAGTAAAATGTGATCACCAGGGCCCTCGGATAGGGAAGTAGGGAGGAGCAAAGACCAAACAAGTGAAAACTTACCATCTCCTACAGTCCTCGATGACAACGAATCCTGGCTCTACCTCTTGGTTGTTGTACATGCATGGGCACTGGATGTCATCCACACACTCGCCCTTCCACAGCTTGGTGCCTTCGGGGCAGTGGCAGCCCTCCACGCAATGCATTTCACAACCATAATCTTCCTCCTCTATTTCGGGGTTTTCGTAGCATGTATCAGCACAGACCTTCCCGCAGGCTTGGTACTCCATGCCATTTTCACATTGCAAACCTTTTTTTATATTGCAAAGCAGAAATAACTGTCAGGATTGTATTTGATGTGGTTATGGTACGTACTATATTTAGGAGGCTAAAAACATATCCGCTGTCTTACATCCTTTGCTTCCTTCAGAAGCCATGTGTATCAGAAAAAGTAAACAATAAAATCCCACCGCCATGACACTGAATCATGATCTTTTCAACCCTTCAGACGAATCATCAGATATTGTACTTTAAAAGGGTTTTATCGTGGATACCAAGTAGGTGAGAAAAATCACTCTGTGCCTTTTTATTTTGCCTTGCATGAAAATATTTCTACAGGGTATTCAAGTTTCTTTTCAGTTTCAATGTGCTACCTGCATCCCAAGGTTGCAGTTTCAAGACCCAATGTCAAGTACTGATCAATCAATCAACCTAACATAACCAATTCAGAATCTGAGATGCAGTAAACAACAATGACAAATCTTTTGAAAGTTTGAATTAAAAAAAGAAAATTACCGCAGTTGCCATCGGATCGCCAAGGTACTGGCGCATTCAATGAGTTACAAATATCAGCATAATTAGTGATGGCAGTACACAGACACTCGCAATCACCACCACGGTCACAGCCACAGCTATCGAAGACACAGTTGTCGTAGAAGGGTTGAGGGTCCACCTTTAGTGGTAATAATGAAAAAGTAATTCACATAAACCGCAACACATTATTGCAAGGCTGTTGTGGTACTAAGGACTCGTACATAATTATTGATGAGGGGTCTTCAACACTAGGGCAAATTTAAATAATATGGTGCAAATGTTTATGGACACAGGATTGTGGTTTCTTGTACAGTAGTTACTGTTCTTATGATTCTTGATTGGTTCATTTTCTTTAGTTTCTTGTAACTCGCTTTTTCTTCAACCACAATCAGTAGTTCAGAGCACAAGTCACTTGTTTTTTTTTACAGCTTGGCAGTCTGCACTGAACTGACAATCTTGCCACTAACTTCTTACACGCAGGCCAATGCGCACACTGGTTGCTGAGCAACTTGAAAACTCGGTCACGTATACGCTACATGTACATCACACCCCATCACATAATCCAGCTGCACTCACTACAATATTCTCAAGGTAACCCTGACAATCACAATCTAGTTTATATTGTAGATGAGGCTTTGACTCGCCCACTGGCTTCGCAGTGTGTCACTCGCTTCGCGGGTGATCAACTTGTGACTACACACCTGTTCAGCGATGGTATCATGGAGACCAAAGACACTATGGGTACAGCAAAAAGTCCCCATAACTCGGTTATAATTTTCCTAACAATAAAAAACTTCCCCATAACACGGTGACGGCCTGCCCACATACACCACTGAAAAATGCACACACTCACGGACGAACAAGGCAGAAACAGTATGCCATTCGGGTTCGTTGGCAGGGCATAAAAAAAATATGGTCACACACCCCCTTATGGTTTAATCACCAAAGCGCAATAAGTATTCCCCACTTATTCGCTGATCCTTAGGTATGTCTACACATTTAAATGTACTGAATAAGCCTATTCTTATTATACTGATGTTTGGACTAGTTATGTACTTAACAAGGTTTAAAGTTAAGATTGACTGGTTTGGAAAATTTCTTTGGAAAGTTTCTCTGAAAATCCTTTTTGTTTGTCTTAAAATAAAGAACTTGATTTCATTGAGTTTTATATTGCTTTAATTTTAGTTTGTTGTACACAGAATGAGAACAGGTTCATCTTTGGTAGGAAAAATTAAGATTTCTTCAGGATTATTAGTTTTATTAAGTTTTCTGTTCAACCCTCTGAATCCAAGTTGAGTGGTGAGTAATTTTATGGTATTCATACAGTTTTATCTTACTTTTTTGAAACTCTGTGTAACTTGTTTGGATCTCAGTTAGGGGTGTGCATTTACGGGTAGTACAGGAACCGGATACCCTATTGAAAAAAAATACGGGTACCCGGGTACCCGTTAAAGAAACTCAGGCCCCAAATTCAAATCTTGGAAGTTGCTGTTCAGATTGTTTGTAAAGGTCCGAATGATAATACTACCACATCGGTGTGGCAATACGGCTAGATAGGGTGTATACAGTGAGCTCTTAAGCTATGTGGTGGAAACTGCAACTTTTGCAAGCAGCATAAAACTTGAAATTGGTTTTGGTTTTCCATGTATCGTGTTTTTATTGTGAAATTTTCCCACTGATATTCGAAACATTTCTTTTTCATCGACTGACAAGTTACTAAGTAATTTGCAAAGTTGGTTACGGGTACTCGATTCCATAATCTGGAACCGGTTCCTGACATTAACGGTTGGGTACTCGGGAACCCGGTTCTGATGCACAGCCCTAATCTCAGTCCTGAGCTTGTAGCTGCGCTGACTTTGCTTTGCAGTGAAGTTGCCAGCTTCAGTAATTTAGTTTTCATTTGTACAGAGTTTCTTTTCCTTTAACTTAATTCTCTAGAGCAAATGTTTATAAGAAGTTATTGCCAAAAATTCTTGATATTTTCTTTATTTCTCTTGAATACTTGAAGTGTGGTAAGACTACTGAGGGCACTTAGTACCAGATTACACCATGTTCCCATTGGACTTTTCTTCTGCGGTTTCATAGAAACTCACTGTCAACATTCATTTGCGTATTTCTACCAGCCATTCCCACTTGGACTTTTTTAACACCAACGGAACATTTATTCGCTGTGTGTTGCTGGCCAAATGTCACATGTTGCACATGATGTGCACAACAAACTTTTACAACAAAATGTTTAACGGCATGTGGCTGTTCCCACAGGATTCAGCATTTAAAAACTACCATGGCTGCATGCATACATACCACACCCACTTACACCTGTAGTTTAACATCATGGTCATAAGTTGATGTTAGTCCTCAGGCTTCCCCACTAGACTCAATATTGTGATCCTATGGGAAAGTTGAAGTAGTTTTACCAAAAAGGGTCCAAAGGAAACACGGCTTTAGTCTCTGAAGGCCAAAACTTCAGAAATTATTGGTTGAGGTTGTACTGCATCAAAGACTTGTATTGAAACCGGTACTATCAAGACTCCGGTTATACTCCCATGAGGAAGTCTTAATCTACATGTACAAGGTACAAGCTTAACCCTAACTTCCTAGCATCTTTTACTAGGAACTGGACCAAGTCCATCAAAATCCATCAATCACTGTGCGTCCAATACAGAACTGTTCATGACATAATGGAATCAACCACTGATGCACTGGTTGACATTCATGGACTTGCTACACATGGTTTTTATCACAATAGCAGTACAGGAAGCTAGGCAAAATCAATCGGATACCACTAGCACTGCTTCAGGCTATTAGGCCCAAGTCCAACATACTCCATCAATATTTAGTCTTGCAAGGCCTTCTGGACCAAGTCCCCCAAAATCCACCAAAACGGGGGAATGGATTTTGATGGAGTTGGGGTGGTTAGGGTTAAGGTACTATCTAAATTGTGGCCAAAGATAATTGATATGTTGTCAATGTACATGTACCATTGCCAGCCCACCAAGGTCCATGTTCCTTTTCATGCCCTCACTCTGTGGCAACTTTAATGCCTCTCTGATGTTCTCAGTCAGTGTGGCACAGTGCAGCACAAAAGCCCTGGCCACAGCTCATTCTGATCAGTTATTGTTTTGGCAGTATCGCTATGTAAATTGAGGCCCTCCACTAATTTGCATAAATTGTAAATAGTCGCCATGTAATATATTTATTCCCATCTATAGGTACTTTTTTTTTTTAAATATGTTTTTTGAAAAGTACATTTTGGGGATTCTACTTACCGGTACCTACTTACTTAGATAACATGTTTTAAAGCATAACGACTGGATAATAATAAGAATATATGAAAGATCCAAAGTGACTTCACCCTAAAGATGCGCTCATTGACCTTTTCCCAGATATTTTCAATTAGTCTTGCCAAATGTAAGTATTGACAAGCTTCAAATTCACAAAGTTACTTACTGGCATAGTTACCCTAATATAACAAAATGGAAAATCATGCGAACAATGATAAAATCACCATATTCAGAGCTCCCAACATTCAGATTTCAGAAATAGTAATTTTTATTGAGCCAGTATTTATAGTTCGGCGCGTCAACATTTAAACACAAAGGTTGTCAAATCCTGTCACAACAATATCAAGTAATTCCCACAGAGTGTAACCCATTTCATTAAGTTCTTGTAAATGCTAAACCAACTACATAACAATACTTAAGGGCAAGAGGGAGACTAGAACATATAAATGCTGGGTTAACAGTCATGGAAGTCAGATAAAACGGGGTTGGACTCATGTTTATACTCACCTAGGTTTCCAAGAAGTGAAGTAAATTTCTGTTGTACAAATTGATTACAGGTCCCTGGAGTGTCAGTCACTCATAAATTTGGAACAGTATCTTGAATTCAAAGGGCTAGCACTTTGCTTGTCAGAGTCTGCAGGAGCTTTACATTTAGCTTTCTTCACGTGTGCAGATCTGTGTATGTTGCACTTTTGCATTTTTTGAGCAACTGAGTACATTGTTCTTGATCAAAGCATCTGCTTTCTGCGGCTGACATAAATTGCTTCTTGACAAGCAAGTCACTCAAAGTTTCTGTACTCATGCTGGCCCTAAATTCAGTTTTGGTTTTTGTGACATAGCTGAACACCCGCTCACAATCAGCATTACTATGGAACACAACCAGAATAGCTTTGACCAAACTAGTGAGTAGAGGATACTTGAGATTCCAGTTTCCATCTTTGAGCTGCCCTATTAGGTGCCACTGCTTGAGCACCCTTGTACAGCTGATTATTTCACTGGAGAAGTCATCAACTTGAAACTGCATAAACTCATCCTGTAGATTGTCCACTTTATCAGGAGTATTGAGTTTTAGACACGTGAATTTCTTGGCAAAGTATTTGACAGAGTCAAAGTGATACTCTCTCTCTTGGAGACATCAGCTAACTGGGCATTGATCAACATTGGGTATGAGTAGGGAAATTTAGCAACCATGTACTCAACTGCTTTGCAGAAGAATCCCTTGAGATGACAGTAGAAGCTTTCCTTGTAAAATTTTTTCAGCTTCCAAAACCTCTCTTGTTTCGCTGCCAATGAAGATTTCTGCATTGTCCCTCTGGTGCTTGGACTTGTGGTAAGGAAGGTGGTGCAATTCGGCTCGGTATTTCTTGATGGAACTTGGTTTCAAAAACCTTGTGAATAATGTTTTCAGCTGATCTAGAAATGTCTGATGAAGCACATGGATACAAGGTTCATCTTTCTGAAGGATAACATTGGCTTTGTCAAATATTGGGAGGGTATATTTAAGGAACATGCAATAAGCCTTGGTCTGTGGGTCACTCAAAAGTTTGACCACCCTTTCTGGCCTTGTGAGTGGCTTCACTAGTTCCTGTTTTTGCTTTGACTGGAGCGGACTTGAAATGCTTGAAGTCTTTTTGCTGCTGGATGTGTGGGTGGTAGTACTTTTTCTCTCAGCTGTTGGCTTTTGTTTGAACAGGTGATCACTCAGATTAAACTGGTACCACCATGATCACTGGAAGTCTTTGCCTTCTTGGGTGGGGGTGGGGGGTCATTGGTACTGGACTCTTTCTTCTTGCCTCCACTGGTACCACCACGATCACTGGAAGTCTTTGCCTTCTTGGGTGGGGGTGGGAGGTCACAGGCACTGGACCCTTTTCTTTTTCTTCACTGCCAGGACATGAAGGACGTCCACCATCACTGGACTTCTTAGACTGGGAGACTGAGCTAGCATGTGTAGGTTTTTTTGGGGGGGCAGTTCCTTCTGGAAGTATTCAAGTAGGGCAGGCCACTGTATCAGAAGTCTGTTGATGCATAACCCCAAAGAAAGCCACCTGGTGCTCACATGTTTAATAATCTTGGCAACAACAACACCATGTAGATCTTGGAATTTCTTCAGGGTGTGCTTCCATTTGCTGCTCTTATCCAAGTAAAAATATATGTCTAAAAACAACTCTTCCACATTGAATGGTAGTGTTTTGCCAGCCTTCTCAGCTGCAAGATGCATGGGGTGACACGCACATCCCAAAATGTACATCTCTGGATTTGCTTTCTTCAAATGGGAAGCCAAGCCGGACTGCTTTCCCTGCATCACACTGGCGTTATCAGCTCCGAATGATACACAGCTTGTCCATTTTATATTTCGCCTGGAAATATCTTGATCGAGAGCCTCAAATATCTTCAAGGCAATGGATTGATGGCATTGGACCGTACACAGGAGAACTGTTAAAACTAGGCCAAGACTGTTGTCGAAATATTTGACCAGTAATGGGTAGAGTTTCACATCTTCAATGTCATTGCTTCCATCAGTTGCCATACTGTATGGTTGGGCACAAAGAGGTGAAGTGATATCTTGTTGTACATCATTAAATAACAGCGCACTATGGATCTTGTTTTTGTTTGTCCACACTGATACTGTTTGGCAATTTTGCTATCAGGAAACATCTTCCTGAATAATGGGCCAGCATGATCAGAAGCAGCGATGGATAGGTTGTGTTCAATAAGAAAATCAATAAATTCCCCAGCATCTATTACCGATGTGTCCAAGCTGAAGCTGCTGAAAGTGGTGAGTTTCGGTGTGTTCTTAACATTTTCCGCTGCCCGAGCATGTTTATCCGTTGCGATGTGCTTCTGGCAATCATTTCGGCCGGCGTGACTCACACAAAAATCCATGTTGCACAACGTACAAAAAGTAAAATAATCTGAACGTTTACTGCACGTTACACACGCCCATTCATCACCGTACTTCTTCAAAAATCTCTGCCGTGGCTTCAGCTGTATTTTAGATTGTTTGGTAGACATGTTTTCAAAATAAATCCAAAATCCACTGACTATTAAAAACAACTCGATGACACGAAGCATTCCACGGTATGAACCGAAACCAAGATGACTGGCGTATACAACTCGACCACGAGACAACTTGACCCGTGTGACAACTCGACTGTCACCGCGCCACCATAACCCTGCAGCCCACGCCGCGATATGTACCTGCATGGCGCCCATCGTGCATGCCGCGCCGTGCATGTCGAGTTGACTCGTTCACGAAAGCATGCCTGCGCAGATTGTCACTGTGCACTTAGTTTCATAGACTGGCTACCAGTCCTTCGGACGTTATAAGCTAACTCCTCACGAGAATATAAGGCGGGAATGGCGCTTTTTTTAAATGAATAATTTTTTGAAAACAATATCGTCAAAAATCGTACATTTGAAGAATGAAATAGTGAAAGCGTAAAATGGGTGAAAACTCGTAAAAAGTACACCAAAATCGTTCATGTTGGGAGCTCTGCATATTTAGCCCAGAAAACCAAAAAATGGGGGAAAAATAGGTGTCCGTAAATTGGCCTAAAAATTAGGCGAATGTTTGCCTATAACATGGGGGACTTGAACAATTGAAAGAAATTCCCCAAAATAAGAGATTATGGTTATTTATAATAGGTCAATATCAAAATTTTCTTACAGGTAAATTTGGCGATTTCATTGAACATGTAATAATTTAAAAAAATTACTGGAAGAGTGTCTGATAATATCCTGATGTTTATGAGGCTTACCAAATCATGACAAGGCTCAAAGACAGATTTCAGGATGATGCTGCAAGCAAACTGTGCCCAGTCACGTCGCTCAGGATTCAAATCACAAGGGTGGACCGGAGGCGGGGGTAGAGGGCAGCTCTCGATAGTCTTCCAGCTGTGGCCAAAGGCATTAGCCGTGGCCTCCAACTCGCCAGTCGGGGTTCGGAAGTCATTTTGGGCATTGTCATCAAAATCACCGCACAGGCCACAGACACGGCCTTTGAAGGTGCCGTCTACAGTGACGTATATGGACGTGCCATAATCCCATATCACTGTGATCCCTGCAGGTGTTAAAACATATTGAGGTTGTTGTAGTGAAAATACCATTACCGTAATTTTCAAAATATAAGCCGTGGCTTATACGTTGAATTTGCCCATGAAAATGTTTACTGCGGCTTATACACAGGGCGGCTTATACGCCGAGCCTTGAAGAATAAAAATAAGATTCACATGTGTATTTAATGTACTGGTATAAGAAGAGATGTGTTGCTGAAATGAATTATCAATTAAGAAAGTCATTAACAAACCGAAACCACGTCCCACGTAAAGGTACCGAGCGGTAAAAAGTATGGTGAAAGCTGTCTTCGATGCTTGCGACCAGCTGTACATGATACTAGTACAGCTGCATGCCATGCAGCATGCTTTCCCCCAGTGGATCACACCATTTGTGGTAATAAAGGGGTGTACTTTCTTGGGAACAATAATTACCGATATTTCCACTGTTTAAAAAAAAGAAAAAAAACAAGTAATACTTTTTATTGTGTTCGAAACATTTCTTTATTAGATAATCAGTTGTTCAACATCACAATATATACATATTTTTTTTTAAATGTATTCAAGAAAAGATGTAAAACTCAAAACAGGGACTAAATCACCCCTTACAAAATTAATGGAGTCGTCCATAATAATGTCCGTAATGTTTTGACTATTTTAGAAGAAAGTTACAATCGAAACTTGAATTTTTAACGTTACTACTCATTAGTAATCACAAAAATTTGATAAGTTTTGAGGTAAAAACGGACATGTTTATTCTTAGGACAAAACAAATCAGCATCTGTTGCCGCAAAGCAAGACTTGTAGCGCTCCAGTCAAACTACACACGGTGGGTTGCATACTCTCTCATGTGCTGCGGGAAAATGTTGTTATTTGCCGGCACGCGGCGCATGCTGCCGGGCCATGCACTAACTTTTAAGGCCGGGGACCAGGCGGGACAGCCAGCAGCAATTCTTGGTGTTTATTTCTCATCATCAATTTCCATATTTGATGATGAGATCAATTGTAAATGATTTGATATAACTTTTGTGGCCCTTTTATAGCTTCTGTAGTGTAAATGGAACTGGTTCAGAGCATTTTGACTAGAATTTAGAGGCCTTTTCAAAATTGAAACCGCAGCGGTCGGTGCAGCTTATACGCCGACTTCAAATCTTAATTTGCAGATTTTTGCGTGCTGCAGCTTATATTCCGAAAATTTTGGTAGTTTTTCTTATACAGTTACAACTGTTTACCTCTAAGCACACTTACAAGCTTGCAAAGGAGAATTCTTCCCCATTAGTAAAGGTGTTTTTTTTAGCTTGTTACAACCGTGATGATTGTATATCGTTTGCCTTCAGTACAGGTGCCATGTGGGTATTATATGCCCCCTCACAATACAACATGAGAAAGACAATATAATGTTAAAGGAAGAAAGAGCTTCAAGGCCAAAATTGTAATTTGAGTTTATAATAAACTTTGATAATGAAAAATACCGGAATGGGACTAGATCTAGTCAAAAATACTGGAGTCTGCTCTTCCAATGAACAATCTGGAGTGGGCCCATACTTAAGTTCTGTTCATAATTACGGTGGTTGACAATAAGATTTGGCAGGACTCTGTTTGGTGTAGCGGTACTTTCCTCACCTTCAACCGCTGTGACCTGGGTTCCATTTTGAATTTGTAGTCCCTACCTGATCCAGAATATTCTTCTGGGGTTTTCATACCACCTCTAAATCTGTAATTTCTTCTGATTGTCTAGGTTTCTTCAGGCTTGCGAGCTACAGTGCCTGTGGAGTTTTTGATATCACTATATATCAATAAATAAAATAATACTCACCATGCCTGGTATTGATGATGAGAAAGATGCCTGACCGTACAAAGCGGTACTGGGCCTGTGTGGGTGCAGGTGGTGCAGGGGTAATGACAATATCTGAGCCCCTCACCATGGATATTTGCACATCCAGCAGGGTGAACAGGATGGACTTGGTACAGGTCACCCTTCCCAGACCACAGGGAACATTCTCCACGACTACAGTGAAGATACTGGTACTACCATCCTGGCCACAGCCATCCGTTGTTAAGACGTACCTACAATCACCTAGGAAACCATATGTGACAGGATTCCACGGAATGAGACTTAACAACACATTCTCACTTATTAGGTTAAGATGTGCAGGAGAAAGCACAGAATTTTCATGTCAATAAATCACTGACTTTAACATCTTCATTTAAACAGATTCTACTTTTGGGCAATTCCTTCAATTCGGACGTACATGTCAGACACATTAATGAGCTTCTGTTGGTAGTGTGAACGTGATACATTACTAATGTGTGATATCTAATGAAGAAAAAACAATTACAAGCCAAACAAATGCACTACCACCTTTATGACCTTGTAAAAATATGTTGTCGGAGGTACAAAAAAAGAGCTTGAATTTACGGAATTGCCTGTTTGTGAAAAGATTGACTGTTCCTATTCAAGTCACAGTTTTCTAACTTGAGACTTGACTTAACTTGAGAAAAAAAGACTGCAGACTTGAATTGACCTGAAAAATAATGACTTAACTTGACAGTTTTGACTTGAAAAAAAAAAAGACTAGCGACTTGACTTGGTTAAATTTGAATTGCTGGCAGTATCACTTTTGTTGAAATAAACACAAACTTTTGGGCGTATGCAAAAATCAGTTGAAGAGAAAGCCAAGGACCTAATGCACATGTAGCAGCTAGGCATCCAGTGCAAGTATGTTCATGGGGATCGTAGAGGTGGTGTTTGTGTGGTGCATGCCAGTTTATGCCCTGGAGTTAAGTGTCATTGGTTACAGTTGCATTACAAGGCACCACACTACCGTGCTCCACATATTGATCAGTGTTTAGAAGAATGGAAGAAGCGTCATCATCTTAAAATGACTGGAAAACAACTACTTTCGTCATTCCATGATATAAATTGAATGTTGCAACAATTCTTCATATTCGATGAAAATGATTGGCAAATCAAAGTCTACTGTCCTTCAAAATTCAACATGATTGAATTAAGTTTGTAGATATTCAATCAAAACATATTTTCAGACTATTTTAAATGCAAATAAGAAGTTTGTAACAGCAACTCTGCAAAATGTTAATTTTTTAAATTCTCCCTACAAGATGCATGCTTAATAAACCCCATTGCACACACATACACATAGACTAGTTCCCGTCTCTGCTGCTATAGACTAAATACAACAGTAGAGATGGGAATCAGAATAATGTACACATTGTATTCAGATATTGCAAACTAAGACTTGTATCATCAGTAAAGGGTGTTGGAGAAAGGGTACATGTGACATGTAAATTATGATGCAATATGTTCAGATGGACTTGAAAATATTTACTTTAGACTTGTGACATGTTTTGGAAAAAAGTTACTTACGACTTAAATTCACTTGTGAAAAAAAAATGACTTGGTACAACACTGTTAGCAGGAGGTCATGGGTTTCAGTCTTACCCGTGCCAACTTGTGATTTTTGTTCCCCAAAGACAGTAGTACACAGTGCTTAAAATGTTACGTGGGTGGAGGGTGAAACCCTTTTATTGCTTAAACACGTCTTTGAACCATATTACGACACAAGCATTTGTTAAAAGCTTACCCTGAAACTCGTACAGCCGACCATCATATGTCATGTAATGGGGGTCTCCGTATCCTCGACATGTAGCTGAGTGAAAACAGATTGATTAAAGTAAAAATCAGATATTTGACAAGGCCCAATTTCATAACCTGGCTTACTGAAAGCGAAACATCCCTTTTAAATATAGTAAACAATAGCAAATTGAGCACTAAATGGTTTGCGTATTACATGGCTTTGTAAGGAATATGCTTTTGCACAACGCGTACATCCTGTAAATAAGGATTCTGTGCTTATAAGACATACCATTTCACAATTTTTGCTACAATATTGCATGCAATTATTGATGGAATGAAACTGGCTGTGTATGTCAGAACCATGATGCTGGAACATACCACCAACCATTTTCCTAGCAAATTACAGTTTACAAAAGAAAGAGGATTCATGCAACTGCAAATTTTGTCAGACTGCACTATGCAAAGTAATGTTAATAAATTCACTAACCTGGGCATACGGTGTTGCCACATATTATCGTACCATGGTAACATAAACTGAAGAAAGAAAAATACAGTTGAATCAGGCATAAGCTATTCTTTTATTGGCAATTTTACATGTAACAATATTTGAATAAAGGCCTAGACTGGTCTAAATACAAATATGTCCTTAGTTGTTGTTCCAATTTGAATCCAGCACAGGGGAGTCAGGTTGGCGTAGCGGTACTTTCCTCGCCTTCCACCGCTGTGACCCGGGTTTGAATCCCACCTGGGCCAGTATGTGGATTGGGTTTTCAGCCCCTGCCTGATTCCGTGGGTTTTCCCCAGAATATTCTGCTGGCTTTTCCTCCCACCTCTAAAACTGTAACTTCTTCTCATTGTCTTCTCTTCACAGGTTTCTTCAGGCTTGCGAGCTACAGTGCCTAGGGCACTTTTGAAAAATCCTTGGTTTCATTACTAGACATGATTAATAATAATAATAATAATAATGTGGCTGTAAAATTGTTCTTCTTAATGCACGCTTTTTGGGTTGTTGTAAAACAAGCAACAAAACTTATAAAACTGATAAAATGAAATGGGAAATTGCAAAACTGGAATAGTGGGTCACTATTCCATAACGACAACAAATTCACATTTCATGTCATATGTCCATAGTTTTTAGGTGCGCACTCTTGAATTTTTTCTTTCAGGGGGGGGGGGGAGGGACACCACACAAAGTGTATTTTATTAATCTTTATCAATCACTGGGATATCACAAAACAAAACAATATTTTTGGAAGACATACCATGGTGCTGTGTGTAATTAACAATAATTAGTTGTTACCACTGATTGCAGTCATTATAGAAAGTGTCTAGGTGGTTGTAGCTTCGCCCATTGAAGTAGCAGGGACAGTCAGTCTCTGGCATACACTGGTCGTCGGCGGTGCGGACGGTACCAGTCGGGCAGCCACAGCCCGGGGTGCAATCGGTCTCACTGCAGGCCAGGTGCAGGCTTTGGCATTCACGCTGGCACTCAACACACTCAATGTACTCCTGGCTTCCCGTGCATTCATCACCAGCGGCTACAATTATTGTATCAAATATGTTTTGTTTGGTGAGAAAATGAGGACATATGTCCAACAGATGTTATTAAATGGTCAAATAACTTGAAAATGGTCAAATAACTTTTTCTGCACAATGATTTATGCCAATTATATCAGTTATCATTTTTTTCCGGCCTTTTTGGTCCCCCCCACCCATTTGTTCAACCCTCACCAAGAGTGGCCTTTTGTACACCCTTGTAATGGACGCCCTACAAAAAAACAAGACAAGTTATAGAACCTAATTTCCATTAGGTTGTACAAGCTTATAAATCAGCTTATGCAAGTTAATGAATGTTATGCATAATGAAGGGCAAAACCCCATATTGAAATGAATAGTTAGCTACTTACCAGTGCAAATGTCCTCAGTACACTCAACAACACCATTTTTGCAGGTGCTGCAAACAAAATCAGTGCAGAAAAATGTTTGTACTGAGCAATGTTTAGTACAGGTCAGCCTCGCAAGTAATTACAAATCATAGCATGCAATACTCAAGTAGTTTCCTGGAATTGTATTCCCTTTGGTATACATTTACTGTCATTCTTGTTCCTTTCTGATATCTCCAAAGAATTGTCAGGTTCTCTTTTTGTTCATTTATTTCAACATTTCATTTTGCAGAAAATAAAGCTTCAGGATATAAATCAGAGTGTTTTGTCATGTAAATGTCTGGTGACATGCACTGAAAATACAGGTTTATATCACTAAGACAAACCAGCAGGCATACATTTAATCCTATCAGCCATTTCTTCTTTTATTTCATTCGACTTGGCACAACATGGCAAAATAGATATGTATAGAGAGCAGACCATTGCTTGTATGGAACATGACAAGACTTTTGTGCTTCAAATGTACCCACCATTTGTTGCAAATACTCTTCCATGATGTCCCAGGCTCGTAAAGACGTCCCTTGAAATGACATGGGCATTCTGGTATGGGAACACACTTGTCTAATCTTTCGCTGAATACCTTTGGTGAGTGCATAAAACAATTGTATGGATCTGAGATAATTATGCACACAACAGATACACTCATTAAAAAAAAAGTGCTACAATAGCCATAAAACATATAGACTTCACTCACTGACAAATGCAAAGTGATTTTGTGACATCAATGGCAAACATTTGCACTTCCAAGTATAACACAGCCTTTCAAGGTGTTGGCTGAACAGCGTGATGAGCAAAATTGACATCATAAGCAAATCCTGTCAAGAGTTCATAGAAGAGCTTCAACCTTTTCAACTTTTGCAAATTGGCAGCAATAACATTTGCCGCTAACATCACACAGTTTAGACACACTGGCATTTGAAGTGAAGGAGACACCTCTGTAGACCTTTTGCATAATTGCAGTCATCTTAAGCAGTATTTTGTTTCACAGTGATACGGCTAAGCACACCTTTTGGTGCATTTGTTGTCTCAGCACAACATTGCTATAATGAGCATGATGGATCCACAAAAGATTGTTGGGTATAGCGGTCATTGGCTGCCACCAGCCACCGCCAGACACTCTTAGCTCTACTTTCCCTCCTAATCACTGAGGAGATGATTCCAGGATATCTCTGATCAAAGCCCATAGTGGGCTAAACATCAATTTTCATTGACTGATAAATTGGAGGAAAATTTAAGCAATGTACATAAATGTAAAGAAAATTTGCCAACATGGTCTGTACTGGGCAGTGTCAGTGCGCATAAACTGTATGGTGACCCGCCATTGAATGTGCACAAACCTATGGCAACCATTGGAAACACACTGTGCTTTTGATAAGAATAGGAGCGTTGAAACCTCCAAAATAAAAGTAATAATATAAAACAAAACCAAAAAAAAAGGAAAAAAAAAAAAGAATTACATACAGGTTCACAGAAAGGAATCAAGGTGAGTGAATATTGTTGCTGAAATCCTTTTTTTTTTTTAGATCAAACTCAAATGTTTGTGAGTCATTTTGTTTATGTTCACTATTTGTTAGCAGCATTGTCACCATAGCAGGCCCATTGCTACAGACCAGTTCCCAATACATGTTCTTTTGTAATCATTTTGACCATTATCGTTATTGCAGCAGGCCACCAGTACCAATTCAATGTTGGTTGAATAGTACTCCAAGAACTCTCATTCTTCAGTGTGAATTAGGAAAACTAGAATAAGGCAATAAATATGTGCTTGGCCAGTTTTAAACAAGTACGTTTAAAAACGTGCTTGGGGCCTGGACGCGGATAATGACCTGAGCCAAATCCCATTCAAACATAATTTTCAGTCAAAACGTCAAAAATTAACAAATTTCCAACACTTTTGTTTGACAATTTTGCTTCATGTTTTTTGGAACACCCTTCTTGTCATGTCTATGGCATATATGTGTGTAGTGCTAAATGTCTTCTTATATGGAAATTGGCTGGTGCGCGGTATGTGTGGCACAGAACGCAGCAGTATTTTATCAGCGGTTATAAAAGCACCCATGCGACGGGCTCTCAACCAATAGGAATGTCTGATAAAAAATTGACAATACAGAATGCATTTTCCGGAAAATTGGAAATGTAATATAATGTAATTGAACACAAATTCTGGAGCCAGAAGTGATGCCCAATATAACATATTGTTTAGTATAGTGGTGTCAATTATAGTGGCATTCTATTGCACTGATTTGAAATGACAAACAAACACCCACAATGCTGACTGCAAACTGTCTATACAAGAATGGGTTTCATACCATATCATTGGGGCATTGGCAGCCCTGGACACACTGTTCTTGGCAGTCATCTCTATTCCCCAGATCTCGACAAGACACCTTGCACATGGAGCCACACTCCTTGTACACCTTTCCGCCCTCACATGCAATGGCTGTTAAAAATATTTTAGGTTTACAAGTTAATTCAGATATTTTTGAATGGTCCATTTATACTATCAACTTAATTTGACTGTGTCTTTGTTAGGTTTTTGATTGTTATTATAATAATAACTGATACAATATTGAAGGGATGGAAATATACACATGGCTAATCAGTTTCCAAAGCTGTGGTGTTAAATATTGATGTGCTCATCATACCTGCTCACAGTACAATTAATTCAATAAGAGGACTCCCATAATGGACAGAGCGCATGCCTGCAGGACTAGAGCCTGGGGGGGGAGGGTACTGGTATTGATGTGCTCATCATACCTGCTCACAGTACAATTAATTCAATAAGAGGACTCCCCTAATGGACAGAGCGCATGCGTGCAGGACTAGAGGGGGTACTGGTGTTGAGTATCAGAGAAAGCCATTTTTGATCGCGCACGTGGTGGTGGTGTATTTTTTTTTTGATGCCGACTTATACGGAGGAATAGTTGTGATTTTGAGGAAATGGGACCGAAAGTAACACGCCGACTTAGGCAAAATGGCGGCTTACAAAGGCCAACTTAGAAATGAAAATTTCAATGGAACTGCATTAGAGACAATCGGGACTTTTGTCAGACAGCCAATTTAAGCGATATGACGAGTTATACAATGTCGACTTGGCCGGAGTTTACTGTATTTCACACCACAAGTTTTTTACAGTTAATAACTTACAACAAAGATCTGGGCTTCTCCAGTCAATACCAACACCCATTTTGGCGCACTCTCGAGAGTATGCAGCAAAGGCCAGGCACTCAGTCCCTTTATAGTAAGGGGCCTTGCAACGGACGTCCCTGCACATCTCCAGGTAGGCCTTGGGGTCAACTTTAAGGCCACATTCTTTGAACGGCTCTGTTGTCAATTGACTGCAGGTGTTTTCAGCTTCGTCTCTGCGGCTGTTTTCCTTTTCACAGTAGTCCAAAGTCTCCTCAATCAGGGCATTTGTGCATTGGGAGTCTGACTTCCACCAGGGAGCAAAGAGGTGCGATACCCTCACAACAAATCCAGTGGGTAGTTGGTAATCATCGGCAGTTATTCTGTTGAAGGTTCCACAAAGACCTTCCACCTTTGTGAAGAGCAGATTCATATCATTACTTCAGACTTAAGAATGTGATAACATTCTGTCTAATAAAACAGAATTCACTTATCATTAAAGCTATAGTCCATCATTTGCAGCTATCCGAAAAGTAACTGGCGTAATTACTGTTGAAAAACAAACTTGGTTGAAAGATAGTAAGGGAACTAAACGCCCTGTGAAATTATTCCTTCTGGGAAGCTGTCATTTTGAAGAAATCAACGAAAGAAGGCATTCCCAATGGTGATTCTTAAGAAGCACCGTAGGAAAATTTAAATTAGTAGTTCGTTTTGTTATTCGGCGCAGTGCACGCAAGCATTTGAACGACGCACCCGCGCGCGGTTGTTATAATTCGTCGGATCAGTGCGCGACGCCGGGTATAGCTGCAATTCAAAACAATTCAAAACATGATTCAGTAACTTTTGATTTGAAATTGAGATCCTAGAATGCTGCTTTT